CTGGTGAACTGGTGATGTGTTATTTATGTCAGGCTCAGTTCAAAAGCAGCCTCTATGGAGAAGACACACCCCATAAATTTTTCTATGGCCCCTATGAGCAGGTCAGGAAGGCACCAATATTTCCTCTTTATTAGAAACAACAGAAACAACATGCAGCCATAAAGCGGACCTCAGAGGTGAATCTAAAACACAGGGAAAGCATGCTGCTATGAGAACTGAGAGGTAGTCACACAATCCATTTCATCCAACCGGCTTGTCTATATATTGGTGCATTTCCTCATAACTCTCACACCAGTGACTCACAAACTCTCCATGCTTCATCACAGGTCAACTTGGAGATGAACTTTAAAGGAAGATGTAACAAATGGTCGGAGCCTCTCAGGCAATTCATATCTGCTGAAGTGTCATAACCCTCTACATATCCTGACCTCAATTTGGAGTCTGTGTGTTGAAGGCCCATCTGAGGGAAGATGGTATCGATCTGAGCGGAGACTCTGGCAGCATCAATAAACAACAGGCTTCAGTCTTCAAGGCTGAGGAGACACATCTCTATTTCAGCCAGAGGGTTCGCATCTGGATACCTGAGTTGGGATGTGGCCCTGGACAGATGGTAGGACGTGTTTTTTTTGCTGAACTCACATCAGGTCCAGCCCCCTTGTGAGACCAAAGCCAGTGATATCTTCCTACTGTTATGTCAAGGTAAATGGGTATGGGCCTTAAACCACAAGCTCACACGTTTTTACTTTGAATAATTAACGTTAATGATAAGGGGCATTGTAAATAGAAAGCTACCAAGTAACCGTCAGTATCTGTGAGAACAATCAATGCTTAACCAGCAGACAAATAGTATTTGAAGATCTTCTATATCAGCATTACAGTGAAGAAAGACAATGCTGACTTTGGCTCATTAATCAATAAACACAACAAGCCAACCAATGCATCTGACATAGACTAATGAAATAATAATCCTCAGAGGAGGAGGAGGAAGAAGAAGCAAAAACAGGCTGCATTTGGACACTTAGTTACACACACAAAAACAGCCATAGATAAAAATAAAACCATAGTAAATAAGTAATGGGCAATCTTGCTGGACAATTTTCTTGCTGTCTTGCTTACTTGCTTTTCCCTCTTTGCTGAGAAAGTTAAATAAGTGTGCCTCATATATTTAGAGTCAAACTGAGCTCACTTTGTGCTAAGCAGCTTGTCAATAGCAAGAAAAGAGGTATGGGGCAAGAGAGGAGGTCTGATAAAATGGGTTTTAATTACCAGACAGTGAATGTTGGCCTTCCTTTTCCACTTCCCCCTCCCAGCTAAGTCAGGAGTTTGATTTCTGATAATGTGGATTGCTGACTGGGCTTCATCCTAGTTGCCCCTAAAGCAGAAGGAACTAATGTCAAGTCCTGGGAGAGTATGTTTGACAAAGTGCCATATAGATCTTCTGCTTTTCATCAGAGGGCAGTGCTGGTGGAGGCATTAATCAGAACGCTTGATAGCCTGGCTTTGTCTTCCCCTTTACTCTCCTGTAACAATTAGGCAAAGTAATAATTTCAGGCATTACATGTAAATCAATGGACCTTTAACCCAGCTGTTGGTACAGGTGTAAGAGATTAGATGTGCATAGTTGCAGGTCGATGTAATGAACTTCTAACCTTTGTGCATGTATAGTATGTGTGTTTGAGATAGTTGACAATGGACAGAAAAGCAGATCGATCCTCGATAAAAAGAAATAAGTACATTTACTCAAGCAGTTTTGATGTAATTGAGTGTTTCAATTTAATCATAATAACACTTTATAGTTCAACTTCACTACATTTCAGTGGCAAATATTGTACTTTTTACTCAAGTATACTTGTTTAAGAACGTTAATAAACTACCAACAGAATATAGATAAATTAAAATAAGGTTACATCTCGACAAGCTGCAACATTAGATAGATAGATAGATAGATAGATAGATAGATAGATAGATAGATAGATAGATAGATAGATAGATAGATAGATAGATAGATAGATAGATAGATAGATAGTTATTGATTCAGTATTTCCTTACCTTACCTTAAGACGAGATGATAACAACTGATATAGAAGTTCAGCATTAGGCCAAACTTGTTTGCAGTGAAACCCACGTTTGCACTGTCTCATTGATATTGTTTTCAATTGCCACCTGTCCATGGGGAGGCAGAACAAGCTTTAACAAGTTCTTATCATTACAAAGAACCGCGGTCAACAGACATGGGTATCAGCTTTGTGAGCAGAGCCCTGTAAATTAACAAAGAAAGAGACTTTATTTTGCAGAGGGGTCAATGTCTTGTTCTTGGAGCTGCAATCAGAGCTCTTTGGTGAGCTGTCAGAGAGACTGATGCAGCTCCTCAATCATAAGGCCGTAATCAACAACGGTTATAACTGCCTCTTTTTTACATTCAGTAATGCACTAATGACTCATGCCGAGTGAAAACCTTTAAATACTAATGCTGTTTTGGGTAGAGTGAATGAAACAAAAAAACTCTTTGAATACTTGAAAAGCCATGGTCATGAGGGCACATACACTTTTATGCACCTCTTAATTTACTTACTTTTTACTTTTTGAGTTTAAAAAAAAAAAGGTTGATTCAATTCAACAGCTGGGTGTTTCTTTGAAAGTGAGTACCATTCATACAAAATGCAAATATTGATTGAATAATATAATGATCTAAGGTCAATTGTAAAAATAATATTTGTCCTTTAGACTAAAATTATACTCTCTTATCAAACTTGATTTCATGTCAGTCATGTACAGCAAAAGCAGTCCAAGGTGGGAATAATCTCTTTTGATGCAGTGTTCAATAATTCCAATTCAGTATAAAAGACTGAGCTGTACACACACATAGCGTGTCACCAAGTGTTGCCTTCATGCACTTTTCTTTACAAAGCTTTTCAGTCCAAAGCATATTTATAACTAACACAACTTTATTTGTGAGCAAACTTTTATTGGTTTGCCTTTCTCAACATCTACATTCTTTATCGAGAACATACCACACATTAAGATAAATAAATAATAATAAAACCTCTGTTCCTCCGTTCCCATCCTTCCATTTGACCCCAATCCACCTCTCCCCAGCGACCTGATCTCTTCAGTTTAATTGGATCTCATATAATCATTATTTAGTTATTCTTCTTGAATTCATTTTTCTTTCCATAAATATCTGTACATGAGATAACAATTTAAAAAAATCTAATAATATATATATATATGAATAAATAAGATACATACACATATGCACTCTTGGAACCTGAACATATACATACATATATCCATAATCCTTACCCAATACATATGACAGTTACAATATGGCTATAGGTGTGATTTCACTTTGTCCAATGCTAGAACAAAAGCCTCTGTTGTCTCCCCTTTCTTTACCTCATATTCTTCCTATTGATAATTCTACTGAAACATCCTTGTGGCCTCATGCAGATATTTCCACCTCATTACTACCATTTCTTAATATAGCAAGAGAAGAGTCATCGTTCAATAGAATAATGTTTGGTAATCAGGGTATGTTTAAATTATATCTAACAAGGCTGTTACTTGTATCCAGAAGGTATTGACTCCCAGACACTCCCACAGCACATATGTTCCGATTTCATTTTGTGAATATAGTAAACATGGGGCTTGGTCAATTTGAATTTGCAATGTTTTCTTGGAGATAAATAGAACCTATGGATAATTCTATAATTTAGCAAACAATAGTTATATAGGCAGTTAATATTATTCCAAACTCTGCTCTAAGCTATGTTCTGTACAAAGCTTTTAAGGTCGATATTCCATACAGCCACCATGCCCAATAAAAACTTTTTTCTAGTATAAATGTAACACAAAGCCCCTGTTATGTTTGAAACCAATTATTATTTGTGAATAGAAAAAGAAGGATAATCCTGGTAAGTTAAATATTTCTCGTAATTCTTCGAATGATCTTAAAACATCATTGTGGATACGACAATTTTGCCACTGTGGCAATCGTATGGGTTTTCCATCTATTTGTAAGAAATTATTGTTAATTATTGGTGTATCTTCCATTTTGTTTCCCACAGGGCAAATGTTCCTAGTTGTTGCCACAATTGAATGACTAATAATTGGTCAAAATTGAGTACTACAATATTTTTGTGATGAGCCTGAAAAAAGCACATCTTTAAAAGTGTATGGTGAGATAATTTGTTTTTTTTCTAATTGGACCCAAGGTATCTTTAACTTATCTTCAAAGCAATTTGACAATGAACGGATCATAAACGATAAGTAATACAATTCAAAATTTAGGACATTTAAACCTCCTTATCTATTATCACACTGTAGCTCTAATCCTTGGTTTTTGTCCCTTCCAGATAAACTTGGAAACATGATTTTGTAATCTGTTCCAATAACCTTCAGGGAGAGAAATTTGCTACATACTACTGTAAAAGCTAGAGATTTGGGTAGCTAATGATATTGTCAGCTTTGACCATCTATCTAAATCCTCTATAACTTGGACAGCTTTAAATAAAATGTGTTATAAATATTTTAAATCACATTGTTCACAATCCTATATCCACAGTGTATTCACATTACATTTCAATAACTTTAATACATTAGAAAACGTTTTAGTCATACGCTGCTCAAAATATGTTGCACACCATTTTACTGCATATTGCATATAGTGTATATAGTTTCACTATAGTCTTATGTTTTCTATTATATTTCATTATATTCTTATTTTGTGATTCTTTATTGTACTTTTTTACACTACATTCCCCTATGCTGCTGTGTCTAATTTTAATTTCTCCTAAGGGGGATCAATAAAGGAACATCTTTATCTTATCTTAATTACAAATGTGCTGTAGCAGATCCACAACAATAGCGTACAGTTAGTGAAATAATGTTATACAGTATTTGTGGTACCTACTGCATGTCAGCCTACTTCACTGACACTGAACACAGCAATGATTTCAGAGCATCCAAGGATGGCGGTCTTTTATTTTGAAATCCTCTAAGCGGATGTTGATTCGGAAACGCTGTTGGAGCAGTTGTGGCTTCCTCAAAAAAAAAAAAAAAAAAAAAAAAAACTAGCTGTATGGCTAAATATCTCTCATAACACATTAATACTGCGGACACAGACACATCTACAGTTAAAGCGTAACCTTTCATGAAGCTGGCAGTGACATCACTCACAAACACAAGTGTCTGGACTGAGCAGGATGCGAGCAAAAAAACCAAAACAAAAACCACTGCAGGAAATTAGCCCGTTAGCTTAGACAGACAAGACAGCCAAGTCAAGTGTTGTTATGAGGCTTATTTGTACCTCTTTATGCTCATACTTGATTTAACCAAGCGCTGCACGATGGACACCGAGGCTATAGTGATCCGTATAAAAACGCCGTCAGGGGACATGGACTCGTCCGTCGACTGTCCATCTCTTCTCAACTTCAATGACTTGCTGGTGAGTCTTTAAAATGCTACAGAGCTAAAAGCTAAGTGTCCCTTTTTTTTATTTTTTTATCCCACTTATTGCAGTTTTCAGTGAAAGCACAGCTGTAACAGTGAAACACTATAAAACACTGTTTGTGTTGGACAGTTTCGGTTTCTGATTGTTGACAGCTCAAACTTTTACTGTGAACCAACCTAACATATTAATAGGTTATGACTATAATTACATCTAATCTCTAATTCTTTAACTCTGCATCTGTCTGAAGTTTTAAAACTCTTTATTGTTGTGTTAAACATTTCAGCTCGCCATCAGAGATGTCATGCCTGAAGCCACTGTCACGGCCTTTGAATGTAAGTTTCTGTTTCACACTTTTATTGACTTCACTGCTCAAACTTTCATTCACAAAGTGGCTATCACAGTACTCATTCAGCTCCTGACAATGTCAAAGTTCACAGTACTATGAACCTCCTCAGTGACCTATAATAATAGTAACAGTAGTTTACACCCCAAAAAAAAGCCACATAGTCCTTTTAATTTACTTCCCAGTTGAGGTATTATCTGTTTATATGTATATGGAGAGGACAGGAAGTTCATCCTACTCATCAGTGTGTATTAAATGATGAATCATGCTTGTCTGTCCTGTTCAATAAAGACAAAAAGCCCCCCCAAAAATATCTATTAAAAAAAGAATTATGCTATGTTTTTAGATTGTGCTATATTCAAATAAACAAAATTAAACTATTTATTTTGTTCCTCACTTCTTTGTTTTCCTAAAAATACACAACAGTATCTTTCTGTGCTACTTTGACGGGTAAAATAGTAAGCAGCATTAATGCTAAATAGCTTGTAGTGATGCTTATGATCAGTCCTGCTAATTGTTATGTCAACAAGTTGGTGAATTAAACAGAGGAGTATGTAGTAGTTTGTGTGTTTCTTTGGATTGTTCATGAAAGGTTAAACACAGTAACTTCTTGTGAGGTGTTTTGTAAGTTCAAAGCAGAAATATGAAGAAACAGTAAAACATGATGAAAGAAAATGCCTCTCTTTGTAAATTGTCCTCTATATCGCTTGCAGTGTTGATTGTGTTACTGATAAAACTGTAAAATACACATTGCATGTCATCACAGTCATGGTGAAATTGATGTAATTTCTTATTTTGTTTTGAAAGTACATAAACTACCTTATCCCTTTTTACATTTATGATGAATTTTGCAACTATATTGCTGTTTTTTTCTTATTTTGTTCATCAAAAAGTTTACATTTTCATAAGGATTGATTTAAGATTGCTTTGCTTTGGAGGTTTTTATGATATAAAATGGGTTCACAGGTGTAACCACACACACAATGTTGTAGCAAAAGTAGGCAAATCTTGTTTTCTTACCCCTCAATTAATCCAGTTTTATTTTGAAAATGGCTTTTGCTTTGCTGCTAGCTGTTTATGTTATTATTTATGTTATGTTTTGTGAAAAAGTTGTACAGTCTAAATTTTAAGACGCTTCTTTGTTTTTTAGATGAAGATGAGGTGGGAGACAGAATCACTGTAAGAAGTGATGAAGAACTCAACGCCATGTTATCATATGTGAGTATATAAATACGTTTTTTCATCTAGCACATGTCCAGGGTGTTGTATGTTGTAAGACTGAGGCACCTTTGTGATTTCTGGTGTATACAAATAGAATTAATATACTGGACAGAATACCAAGGACTTTAAATGTCCTGTACTTTTTGATTGCTTTGTGCAGCACAATGAAAGAGCTATTCACCTCCCTTTTTATTTGGCACATAAAACTGTTGGCTTGAGCTCTAGCTGGTGTGAAAGTGGCTTCAGTGTTTCTTAAACTTTTTTTTTTTCATCACAGTTTAGCTCGTAACTAATCATGAATGTATGTGCGTTCTACGTGCTGTAGTACTTTATATTATATGTTTTTAAATTCTCCACGTACCACCAGTGGTACACGTACCATAGTTTGAGAACCAGTGGCTTAAAGCATAAAATACAAAACACTTGAAGAACAATTTGAAAAACGTTTAGCGTTACATATTTTTTTGCTGCAGTAGCCAATCTTCCATGGTCACCAGAATGTTATTTAGAGATAACCTCAGGGCTGTCAGAGCAATCAAAATACTGTAGAATACAGTAAAAAGAAAACTCTTTAATGTTGTGTAGGAGGCATCATTAGTTTGATTGAACAAATTCTAAAAAGAGAGGGTTTAGATGCTGATAAGATAGCACTGACAAATTTAGACTTCTTGCCACCACCGCTACACTGTCATCGTATTTATCTGCAACTCAACAGTCTAGAAAGAATTTTGAAATCATATAGCCTCATCCAGTTGTATTTAACCTAAAGTGGAAAAAAAAAGAAAAAAAGAAAAAAAGAAAATCAGCTTATTGGTAGTTTTCAGTCACACACACACACTTCCTCTCCCCATTCAGCTCCCCCACCTAGTGCAGTACATTTTCATATTCCACCATACTTACTGTTCATGCCACGGACAGTAAGAGTAATGGCGTGTAATGGGTTTCTCTACGAGGTACACTGAAAGCTAAATGAACTGTCAATTTTTATTATTTATTATTCAGTACTTAAAGTTTTGCCTCATTAAAGAGCGGGCCCCCTGGGCTGCAGAATTGTTCAAAATCTACTTTCATCTGTGGATGTCTTTTACCCCCCATCAGCTCACAATGATGCCGCTAGAGCCACAGGCACAATTTACACTCCTTGTTTTTTGTCCATTTTTATCATGCATTCACTTGTGGTTGCTTTTTAATCATTAAGTAGCATAGGGTAGCAGGGTGATTAAGCAAAAAAGAGACAGCTGTTGTGTTGATGAGCGTTGTGAAACCGTGATGGAAAAACTATTGACCTCAGCCAACTTTATCATTCACAAATCCAGCTGACATGTTTTGAGGTTCCGTACTTATACTACTACTTATAAGGTTTCAGGAACGTCCTGTCCTGGAGGTTTTTGTATAACCATCATTATTTTATGTATTGTATGCTACAGTTGCTTCTTAATATTTATTTAACAACCTAATTTGGAAGACAGATTTTGCTGCCACAGTGGATGGTGCAGTGCTGTTGTTCTGTTGTTCCACTCTTTCAGGAAAAATATAAATGTATAATTTAAGATATCATGATACCAATTTTATAAATGATCAACCAAATATCAGCAATAGTCATGAGTATAACTGCATGTGTGGATAGTAGAGAAGCAACTGCAACTACAAGCTACATTTGGAGCCCTTGTAGTCACTTATTTTAGTATTGAAATATTATATCATAAAATATCAATGAACTTGATATTTGTCATGTTAATCAGTAGTATATTTATTTGGCGGAACAGGCTATAATAAACATACAGTATTTTGTGTAATGGAAGCTTATTGTCCCAACATTTCTTCCTTCTTTATTCAGATGATGTGAGATGTCTTGTGACAGCATATTAATTCATGACCCTGACCTGCACCTTACTTTACCCAGCACAAATATTTCATATCCACAACACTGCACTGCTTCGTCCACAAATTTGAAAAAGGCATTTGTACAATGAATTTTTGGCAAACAAATCCAGGAGTCCGGTAATGGCTTTCTACTCCTCGTGGGACAGCCAAGTGTACAAAAAGCTGCTGATCACCTGGAAAATACTGGGCTCACTAAAATATAAATTACACTAGCCGAGTACTTTAAATGTCTTTATGCAAGGGTTATGCATTTCAGCAGTCATTTGCATTTGTATTCAGAGGATTTTTTTCTTGTTGGTTGTTTGCTGTGGTTGCCATTTGGCCTCCGTAGAGACTCCAGTGGATTTTTGCCTCAGTGTTGTTAATTCCAGGTGAGCAGACAGCCATTATGTGAAATTAATAGGAATTAAGGGAAACCAGCATGTTAGGTGAAAGGTGGGATAATTCATTAGCGTCTCTCATGGATGCCTGTTGTGGATGTTTGTGATAATAAATATATAACCAGACTTTTAAATATGCTTTCACTACAGTGTTTTTTTTTTTTCCTTTTTCAAGATCTCCGCTTTAACGTTGCCTTGCAAAAAAATCATGCTCCTTGTTGCTGAGCAAAATTAATGCTCAAATGCAGCACTTAATTAACATCAGTCTGCAGAGGGCATTTATTGTGAAAAGTATCCCCCATCACTGAGAACATTGATTGCTACATGCTCCTGTGAGACGCACTAGTCTTCCAGGCATCTCTAATCATTGTTCGACACCTTGAAAGACAGACGCCCCTGTTCAAAGTTAAAGACTGGCCTGTGTCAGGTGCTAAAAAAAAAACATGTGACCTCATCCATTCCTCGCTCAACTCCCCCTGGAGGTAGTAGCTCTAATTCCACCATTCTTACTCCCTTTTCCCCTTAGTCTGCTAATGATGATGAGACCCAGTCTCTGCTCTCGCTCTCTCACTTGTCCCTTAAGGCTGAGCGATGGTATTTGGGATCGGACACTGTTTAGTTATTGGCCAACAATGGAGAATGTCTTTTAATAACACACCTACTACAGATTAGGTGGTAATTGCAGCCTTAATCAATAAGCTAGCTGAGCGGAAAATTAAAGGTATGTGAAGCCCGACCCCCCCACACCCTCAACACACACAACACGTTTTTTGGTATTAGGCCCATTGTTCAGATGTGGCCTAGTGAGAACGCTGGAGGGCGAAAGCAGAGGGCTAGGAGCGAGGAGGGACCTGACAGTGATAAATAGGCCTTTTAATAACAGCTGTGCCACTTGGGTAGCCATTCTGATCCATTCCCATCCAAGCCGGTCCCATCGTCCTACTCCCCTCCCTCCCCCTACAATGAGAGAGCAAATTTACATATTGCTGTGATGACTTAGTAGTTCCTACTGGATTGTAAATGAAATACAATGCACACATGTATGTGTGGATTACATAAAGACATACATCATCTAAACCGTGTGCTCAGTAAATTATTGCTGTTCATTTTTGCTTGTTTGAAGCCTCAAAAACAAGGGGACATAATCAAAACACACATACGCACTTAGACACTCAAACACACACACACACACACGCACACAGTTTAACAGATGGTTTGGTTAACTGAAACATCAATTATTGCATTGCCTTGGCAAGCATCTGAGAGGCTCCAGAGTGTGTGTGCAAGTGTTAGTCCTGTAGGATATGAGTGTTTGGTGAGCTGTTGACCTGGAGGAGAAAAGGGTTAATGCTACACTCCTTCAGAACAAGCCCATAGGGCATTGGTCCTCATCGGCAACAGATTTCAGCACAGCATGCTCACATTTTTGGGAACACTGTGGACTAATTCTGACGTCATTTAAATAAACATTTCTGTGTGTGTATTATTCGGAAATGTAGTGCATAGTCAAATTGCAAATCTGTTTTATGTTAAGTTTCATTGTGTTTTTACTGTCAACACTCTTGTACAGTGTCTTGTACAAGTCATTTCATTACGATGAAACAGCTTTGATTTGATTGAGTTCCAGTATGTGTAATAATCACTTCAAACCACTGTTAGTTAGTCACCCAAGTATTTATAACTTTCTTTTCCCCTTTAGTACTGCAACACAATGAATGAACAACGCATGAATGGACTGCTGCCGGACCCTCTACAGATTTTTCCACGAGGTACAGAGTGTTACAGTTTATCATAGATTGATAATGCTTAAAGGCTCAATATGTTTTTATAATTACTATATATAAATATAAAATATATATATACATATATGCGAAATATTTCAAATTTCAACAGAAAGTTGGTTAAATCACTGTGTTCAGACAATAAGAAACTGGTAGCATTTGGTGGCTAGATGTATCAGTGCAGCCTCTGGACAACATTAAAATTCATTGGCTCATTCTGTTATTGTGTTGACAGTCATTTATAAATCTACATTTCTTTTGCTCCAAGGACATTGAAACTGCAAGCTTGTGTTCAGGCTAAGCTTTGCCCAGATCTATGGCATTGTGTAGTTCCTTCCTGAACTGGTTTTCACACTGAGTGCTTTTTCAATACATACCTTTTTTTTTTTAATATATATCTTCATGTAGTTTCCTCACCACTCAAAGTCATACATAGTCACTAACAGGCCCCAAGGGCAAAGTGACGAAACATTTTACTGTCTCTCTCTCTCTTTTCTCTCTCTTACTCTGTATTTAGCTCTTTCTTTCTGTCTTTTTTCTCTGTGATTCTGTTTTTCCTTCCTTCCTACCTACCATCAGCTGTCTCAAGAGCCCAACATCTCAATCACTCTCTTGTCTACAACTAATTTCAGAGTAACCCTCATTTCATTTCATCTTTTTTTTTTCTTTATAAAGAACTGATTCCTTTTCAGCACATTTGTAAATGGCCCAGTGATGTGTTCTACAATCTAGTCAATTACTGTTTCAGCCGGCAAGACTCCAGGGATCCGGAACATACATGGCCTGAAGGTACCTATCTCAATAATTGTTTCAGCTGCCTTACACAGAGAACAAGAGGAGGGGAGGGGAGGGGAGGGGAGGGAGGGAAGTTGAGGCAAATAGATTGGTAACGCTGTGTTCCACTTATTGAAACGTCAATTGAAGTCAAGGCTCTCCTTTTCTTTCACTCATTTTCTTGCTGCCCTCGTCCATGTTTATGTATGAAGATGGTAGGCTGTTGCTGTCGCAGGGCTTGTCTCTCCTTCTCTATCTCCCTATATTCTTGTTTCTTATGCTGCGATATTCATTTAAGAGTAAGGTGTTATGTTGAAACCTTGATCCTATTCCATAGGATGGAATAAAAGAAATGCTTTGGTTAGAACAAAAACTAAGTCAGTAAGAATATGTGATTATTCAACCATGAAATTGTCATTACAAGCCCCCCTCTGTCATTTACAAATGGCCTTCCACAGACCTTCCCATTTTATGTTAGGCATATGTTGCTATTGAAACTCATTGCTAATTACCATGGGTTAAATGACTTGACACCTCCTTCATCTCTCCAGATGATCCATATTATATCCATCTTCATTTCAATAATAAATGTACCCCCCCCAAATACTGAAAATGCTTTATTTAATATATCCTCTGAGGAGCTTTGGTACCGACTACTGAACTGTGTCATTTATTTTTTTAAGGTCAGGGGTCTGTTTTGAGAAGATGATGTTTTCCAAAAACCTTTAGTCCTTTGGTAATCTTTCCCCTCTTTTCTCCTGTTTTAATATAAAAGTAATTGGCTGAGGGAAGTCATGTTCACTGTTTAAATTAGGTCTTCCTGGGTACTAATTAAAGAGAGAAACCCTGTGCTTTAGTGGACCCAACACACCGGCCTTTTGACCTCAATTAAGAAAGTTATTTTTAGTATCCCCTTTACAGGGTCTTGTCTCTTCTTTTGTGTACGATATCTGGGTTGAGTAAAGAGGTCTTTGGAGTAAACATAGATGCAGATGAATAGATGTAAAGAACAATGTCCCTAGTGAGGCATGACAATTTTAATGTCTTGACTTAATTTTCCTCCTTTACTCAAATCTGGTTCTCATTATCTCTCGTGTTAAGCCATATTGCTGTACTTTCACGCAAATATATTTCTGGCTCTCCTCTCCCTTTCTCCCTTTTTCCTTCTTCTGTCTGTCATTCTTTCCCCTCCTCTATGTGGACACCTCTTTCTTTCTTCTTCGCCTGCCTCCCTTCTCTCCTACGAAAGCCAATTAACCTTCAGACTGAACTGAGAGCTTGTTTTGTTCTTGTTCATTAGAGGGTCTGGCCATATGTCTGTCTGTCTGCCTGCCTGTCTTTTGGCCTTGACCACTAAGTGTGTGTCTGTGTGTGCATGTGTGCGTGTCCTTTCACATTTGTGTGTATCCGTTTGCAAACCTTCAGGTTAATACAAGACCTAACCCAGCCAATGACTGCACTCATGCTGTCCCAGACTCCATGGCCAACAACAGGTGAGCTTGCTGGGGCACAAGGAGCATGTTTCACTACTTGGAATAAACTTCAGTTGGATGGTTGATAGATGAGTAGAAGGATGTCTGAGATATTTACGTCAGTGCAACTGTGCTGTGTTACTTCCTCCAGCTTAAAAAAATCATCTGCTGAGCTGAAGAGGATCCTGACAAATGGGCAGGTGAGCTTGTCTTTTTGGTTTAAGTAGAATTTGACCGCTGTTATCTCACTGCTCCTGCTCTCACACCTAGTTTCCACTCACTAGCTCACCAGTGGCTGGCTCCTCTATTGATTATCTGTGATGCCAGTTGAAGGCATGTTATGCAGAATGTGTATTTGGTTATTGTCGTCACTGTGCCGCACTGGTGAGCAGGGGGTCTGTGGGTTCCTGACAGCCAGCCTGTTACAGTCCCTCTCTTTTATAAGTATGGACTCTCATACACACACACGAACACTAACACACACACACAGAGTGGGTAACGTGTCAAGAAGACAATTAAGCCAGCGGCCTCTCAGGTTTCTGCTGTAACACAGTGAACTAATAGAGCTGTTCTTTCCCTTCACCTCCATCCTTTCATCCATCTCATCTCATTCTCTTTACTTCCCTACTCTCACCATGTTATCTAATCAATTGAGGTGAATTAAAGGGGAAACGTGTGTGTGTGTGTGTGTGTGTTGTGTGCATGCATGCTTACATGTGTGTCGTGATGCCTGTTATTTCTGTCTGTGCAAAAGTTTTGGCAACCCCACAGTTGTTACAATATCAGTCACAGTACAAATAGGCATCTGTCCACACAAACTGGATTATTGACAGGACACCGTTAGCCTGCTTCCTCATTGATATGTTTATTTGAATGTAAAAAAGAAATTTAAATTAAAATATGGAACAAATATATTTAGATATACTTGTGACACTTTTTATTTTGAATTATGATATTAACAGAAGAGATTCATAGTAGCAGTTCATGATATTTTGCGAAAATATATACATGAAATTAATTCGTAATGACTGTCCAGTTTAAATATTAATTATTCAACACTTACATGAAGATAAGGACGTTGGTTACAGTTCATTTTTATAATTATCCACACAATATCATCATATAGGGAGTACATTACCCTACTCAACCTGATTTTGCAAATCTAATCTTTCCTTCTTCCATGCTGAGTACTTATTATTTGAGATAGATCCCCAGTGCTCTAACTAAATCAGAACTACGAGATTATCTTACAGGAGAATTTTGACTGGTAGTTTCAAAATGGGTGAGAAGATAAAATATTTGTCAGGCTACATTATATTACCCACATCTGACACTATTTTTATCAACATATAGTGCAACGACAACAGCAAACAAATCGTCATTAAACTCTACATCAGTCACTCCCCCACTCACCCAAACACAATGTCCTTTTATAAATTGGACAGCAAATGTTGTATTGATCTCCTGTTCTCCTCCTTCTGTCCCTCTGTTTTCTCTCCTTATGTTGCTGAACTTGAAGTGACCTGAATGCTTGTCTTGTTTATAGCCTCTGGTGACAATGTAGTGTCTTCTCTCTCTCTCTCTCTCTCTCTCTCTCTCTCTCTCTCTCTCTCTCTCTCTCTCTCTCTGTCTCTCTCTCTCTGTCTCTCTCTCTGTCTCTCTTTTGCTCTCTCTCTCACCTGTGTGGTTACACATATCATCCACTGGTTGCATGTCTTCTCATGTTATAACGTTAGTCTAAGTATCATCAATGTGTGTTTGTGGCTCTGCAGATAAATGCCCAAGATATCCACTATCAAGAGCAGCTTGGCCATGGAAACGGAGGCACAGTTTACAAGTAAGTGTTCGCTGGTCTCACATTGAGGCACCAACGCTGCAAGGCCACAGCACAATAACTGATAGTGACACTGTAGAGATGCCTCTTTACAGTGCAAATATTAAAGAAGAATGTCTCAATTAGTGGCCAGTTTTAGACTGATGTGTTATACGCTTCTTGACATTTCATATTTTCAATTTCAGTCAGGTTCAGTGGAAGACACTGCATTGTTAACCACCCTTCCTCCGTTCCTTCATCTGTCCATTTATCTCTCAGTGTTTGGTGTAACATTTATCAGCCAGGTCTGTGTCTTTACCTGCATTTATATATTCTGGTGTGAAGGTTTCAAACGTATACGATATCGATTTGTGGCTGTAAGGTATGACAGCAATTGACTTAATCTGTCTATGGTACAGCACATTACATGCCAGGACAGAAGAGCTCCATCCTCTCTGGCTAGACAAATGTGTTACTGCCCTGCTAACGTTATGACAAGGTTGGCATTGTGTTGCTCCTTCTGTCCTTCTTTTCCCCACCTTGTATTTCCTTCTTTCCATCAATCCTTAGCTATTGAGCTGTTTTATTGAGATTGAAGTATTGATCACTGCTCAGGCTAACCTTGACTTGACAGAGTGGTCTGCCTCACACAGTCCCCAGCAAACCCAGTAAATTTCCTATCCAGCAAATCCGTAACACTTCACACGTCTTTTTTTTTATTTTCACCCCTTTCTTTCCAACCACCTTTTACCTTTTTATGGCTTTAAAATAGTTTCATTAAGAGCCAATCTCTCATAGTTGTTGGAGAATAAGATTGCTGATAAGTTTGGCACTAGAAATGGTTACACTGCACTGGCGAAGGCCAATATTACAAGCCTGACAACTTCTCAGTCAATTTAGCACAGTAAGAAATCCATATGCTTTGGTGCTGAAATTTTTATGGTTGGAAGGAGAAAAAAAGAACCAATAAAGATAAAAAACAAACTGGTTGTTCATGCAATTTTGGTGTAGATTGTTTATTTCTTTTATATATATATATCGTTCATTTAGTTTGCAGAGGAGCCCAAACATACTTTTTGACAGCTTGAAGATTTAGTCCCTGAACGCTTCGTACTAATTCTTAGCAGGTTAATATGTAATGTGTTCACACTGTAAAAGTGATACAATTATACAAACAGTAAGTTTTAAGTATATTTATATTACAATATTTGAATGCACATTTTAATTTCAGTGTGCTATTAATTTTTTTTTTGACATAGCTGGAAAACAAGACTCAGTTCCAGCAAGTGTCTCACTGGCCCTGCATGCACAATACCAGGACCCTGGAACAAGTGACATAAATATAATGCAATCATTTTTCTTGTAATTGACTTTATTTTGTCGAAATAAGTTAGATTTGAAAATATTCTGTCTCTACAAGCTGTTATCCCCCCACTGCCTTTCTCTGGCCTCTTTGTGCTACTAAGCTCACTGAATGAGAGGCTTTTTCTGACCAGCCGCACCCGTTCTTCAGAGGCAGACCATTAAATGACAAAAATCACCCAAAAACGGCAACAACTGGCAATGGACACAGCCCGTCTCTGGAATTGGTATTCCATATGCTGCTGCTTGTTGTGTGTGTTGGGATATCCACAGGACATCCTCACCAAATGACACAATCATATCAGTTGACTCTTAATTGTGAGGAGCAGTGGTTCTACCCGATTTTGCCGGATTGTTGGGCTCTTCATTGCATCAGAAAGACTGAGGCCAGCTCATGCAAACTTCATATAAGAAAAATATAGGGTTGTGAAATGCTAACTTTAGAGAAATGACGCTGAGGAATCCAAAAATTATGAGATTATTATTTAGCTATTATCGGTTTCTCATAAGCTCATAGACTTGTTTACATTTTAAAACATTTTAGTGTCAAAATCTGAGCTGAATCAAAATTGAATGTCAAAGTCAGTCGTATCATTACAACATTATCAATATCGTATTGACTCGTAGACCATGTATCTACATATGTATTGAATATATGACAGCAATTGATACACTCCACTAACAACAGGACAGAGCACAGAAGTCTGTCTGGTTTGCTCCTTCATTCTTCCACAAATTTCCCTGCTGAGAGCATTTCTCCACCCTGCTGAGGGCAGCTAGGGGGATGGCTAAACAAACAAATGCTTTTTCAGAAAGGATCCTTGTAAGTCATTGTCAAAGCCTCTCATAAGTCCATACCCTACAACTGGGCTTTTACTTACAAAACTACCACAGCTGCATCTTTCCTGGCCTGCCAGTCCTACTCTGCTGAGTCAGCAGTAGCTGGGCAGCCTCTTCCTCTCCAAAAGGTTTGAACGTCTACTCTGACTCCAACATGACACTGGTGAGGCTGGTTCAATGATGAATAAAAAAGTCATTCTGAATAGAGCCCTCAACCAGGCATTACCGGCAAACCTTTATTGCCAAAGTCTTTCCAGCAGTATGACCTGCCATTAGATCTAGTTCAAGAACAGAACACATAGTAGTCGATCAAACAGCTACTCCATCAAGCCAAGTGTTTCATGAATTTAACTGCTAATAGACCATTGACTTGAGGTTTTACATTGGCATGCATACAACCCTTGACTATTCACTTCAGTTCAAGTCCTCACATACTACAGTTTAGATATGCCCAGGCTACACATCACTCTGCCTGACCTAATCACAGACACACACTGCACTTAGTGCAGGGCCCTGTTTGACCCCATGAAGAACTTCATCAATCCTTTGCCATGAAAAATGAATGCATATAATTTGTTAGTCTTTTTATATATTAAATAAATGTTCTAGAGCTAGAGGGAACTCAAAATTGTGAATTTGTTACCAAATTGGTGTTAATTGTGTTGGTGGCCTTGACATCAGCTCATAGAAATTTCCATCAGTAACTGTTAATTGCTTCCCTGCTTCTTTAATTTTAATTATTTTGTCACAGCCAGAAAAAGCTCAGAATATTTAATACTCTTCCTTTGTTGTCCCCCTGTATTCAGTTTGGCTGGATTTTTCACTTCCATTCAAATTATTACAATTTATATAAAGTCCTCCTCTCTTATTTGTAAATATCTCATTATAAGTGTTTTATGCCAGAAGTAGATTAACATATTTCAAGACAAAAACAATGATAAAGTAAGTACACCACAATTATCCAGTCTTCTCAAAAGCTTTTTAATGGTGGGATTTTCGTAAGGGCCTTGACAGGAAGCTGAGATTATCCTCTCAGCTGCATAAAGAGATGAAAACATGAAGTCTGGGTTGGAAGGATCACCTTAATCTACTGTCCATCTCAATCAACCCCAAACTTTGGGGTTTGTTTCTGTACAGGGACAAAAGAAAAGGGCATTACATTAGCATGGATTAGTCTGATTGTCCCCAATGTATTTAAATGTATTCATTACTTTACTACTATTAGTATGTGGTACCTGTGTTTACATTAGACTTCCTTTGAATAAAATAGTGAGATAAAAAAGAAAACTACTTTATACAACCATAGGCTGCCTCACAGGAATGTACCTTAAGAGGGACATTTACTCTATCAGTCAAACTACAGTTTATTACAACTTGCGTTATATTTTTGCAGTTCCGGCCAATGGTTCTTTTACACTGTACTCAACAGAGTAATGGCTAAGATCTTGGATCAAGGCAAACTGCAAACAGGTCCAACCGGACAGGAAACCCTGTCAGTCAGATGATCATACATGCGGGCTTGCATAGAAAACAATGAGTGCTTTTTACGCATCATGGTCGTTCGATGTCTGTTACTCTCATGGGCACATGCTGTATGTACTTTCATTTGGGTCAGGCTGTTTTTATACATTATTGTTCGGATTATAAAAACCTTTTTTAAAAACACATTCAAAATGTGTATTTTAATTATATTTGTCAGCTTTATTCTATCAAGCAGGAAATTAGCCATTTTTAAAAAATACTGTATGCATACGCACAGAGGGGGCCTGGACAGGTTTCTTGCTTGGTTAGAAACCAATTCTCTGTCCTCTTCAGCCTCTACCCTTTGGTCCAGCTTATATTAGGCTTATCACGTGTGAAAAGCACTACCACTCCCCACCTTTTAACCTCTTAGCCCATTTATGACCCAGAGCCATTTAGACTCAATTGGATGTTACCAACACCTCAGCTCTCCATAGCCACACGCTGACCTAGCCATCCATCAATGTCGGCCTTTGTTTTTTATTACACACTCTCTCAGAGGTCCATCTTGTCCACCAATCTAACTGACTCTATGGCTTATAAATACAATAACAAGGACACACAGGCTATTTTCGTGACTCATGGATCCAGCAGTGCAATTAAAACAAGCACATTTGCCTTGCTGTGGCAGTGGTGACATCTACTTAGACACCCACGGCTGTTCCTTTAGTCTCACAGCCCATTTTCTCCATTGATTTAGTTTTTTCACCTCATTGATTAGGCTGTATATTGAAGGGCCAAACCTCTTTGGTTAATTGCTGGCAACCTAGTATCTTGATGTCCGATATTTTCAGATTGTGTCTAGAACCAGTTGAATAGGTTTGCAGTTTACAGCTGGTGTCACACTGCCTGTCAAACACATCTTGAGTGAACTCTGATTGTTTTTTTTACATACCTGCCTGTTTTCACATTTGATTTTATTTTGGTAGATAAATAGAAAATACTTATTTGTGCACAAATGGTGCTAGAGATGAAGAATGTGGTGGCTGTTTGATACCTAACCGTGGTAAACCTCCTTTAGTGGTTCTGATGTAATGATTGCCAGTTGAGACAGCTCGCCGAATGTACAGGCAGGACCCCGAGTCAAGTCAAGAACAGTCGGTAAAGTTATCGATTCATGATGGAGCTTGAACCTTCATTACTAGCTCGTTGTTAGCCCCTGTTACTTACCAGGGGCCTCAGAGGAGTAATGTAAATAACCAGTATTTTTGCTGGTTATTTACATTGTCAGTTATTTTGGAGTTAAGTAAATGTTTGGTAAGTTAAGCCCTACAGTCTCTAGGCTGGCCAGTTAACGATGTGAAGACTGGGGTTTGGTGTTTCCTGTTGGCCTGCTCTCAAAAGTGATGTCTAAGTCCATCTATGAAATTAAGGAACATTGACTTGCTATAAAACAAACCTTTCAACTTTGATATTTGAGCTTCTCAGCCTTGCTGCTTCTGTGCTAGATACTTAGCAAGCCTCATTGTGTATGTTTGTGTGTACATGCATGTCTGTCAGTGAGTGTCACTGTTTAGGTTTTTGTCTGCCTTTGTCAGTTAGGAGACCCATTATAGCCGTATCAGGTGAGGGAGTCGGGGAGAGAGAAAGGCAGCCTGTCATCCATGTGGCAGTGTAAAGGTACCACGGTAGCCCTGATCCACGAGGCCAGTCTCTCTAACCTACAGCCCCAACTTCAGAGACATAGAGAGAGGCCCTATGAATACTGCATGATGGAGCTTTTATTACAGAGCGAGCTGGAGTGTAAATAAGATCCAGGCAATGGGGCACGTTTACTGGGGTCAGATCAGGGGGAAGTGGCGGGGGGGTGGCTATGTAACCTTGTCCCCATGTCTCCCGCTGTCACAAGCCTGTCACTGTAACTCATACAGGGATGCTCGGCCCTGAGGTGGTCAAGGACAGTCTGAGAATAAAGCTTTAACCAAGCAGTAGTCACACCAAATCTCCAGCCCTAAAACATTCCCTTAAAATACATTTGTTACAACTTTTGGGATTTCTTAACTCTTATATATCTAACTTAGACATACAGTTTGTTTATCATTTAATTATTAACATATAGGGCACATTACAACATAAAAATTAGGCCTGTTGTGCTTAAAGTTATATTATGGGGATATTGCGCTTCAATCTTATTTAAAGCATATTTAAGAAACCACCCTCTGAAAAACTACTGTAGGTGGCTTTAATGTCTGTTTACCTTTTATCTAAATCTGGCCAAAATTAATCGGAGACATCAGAAAAAGAAGAAAAACATTTAAAACAGCATTATCTTTCATAAACAAATGTGAGACTTGAGATGACCTATACAAAAGGTACATATACAAAAATGATATGCACACAAACAAGAAATTTGTGCACATGGTATCCCACGTACACAAAGCTGTGCTTCTCATGTGTTAAAAGTCGTGGTCAAATTCATCCATAGATGGGGTATGTCTTTCACTATGTCTAGACTTATAATTGAGAACTACAAGTTGAGCATGGTGAAGACTTTGTTTAATCCCATTTCAGGCTGTCTTACACGCGCACAACCTGCCCAGTCAGTATTTAACATGTCTACCCCTGCGATCTTGCCTCAATTAACATCTTCATCTTAATTAAGAGGCAGCAGTCATGCTTAACTGATATTGATTGTAGCTTAAAGGAAGACCGACACATCAACATGGAAACAAGGCCATCAGCCTTATGTGCGAGGAGTTCTGTTCCAGAAAAGTTGACAGATCAAACAAACTCACTTACAACACTAAGAAAAATAAGTACAGTCGATTCCCTTTCAATTGTATATGTCCGTTTTTTTTTTCTTTTTACAATCTCAAAAAAGTCTGTAGTTTTGTTTTTCACCTCCACAGTGATGAGACAATTATCAGTGATGTGTAAACTACAACTCACATACAACATGGCATGGCTGCACCTAGAGACCAGTGTTTATTCTGACTGTGGGTAAATACCTGACATGGCACTAATAGGTGTCATTAATTAAAGGCCTGGGCCAGTTTTGAGGTGTCTAGCTGAAGAGCAATGTGATACTCCAATCTAAGACACATTAATCACACCTTGCACCATACACATTCTCTCTGGAAGGCCTACTGACAGGTGAGTAGCCAGGTATCACATTTACTAAGCCTGCTTGCAAGCTAACCAGCCTGTGTGACGTACACTGCCCCCGCCTCATCCCCATCACCTGACAGCTGTTGGACAGTATTCGTCCTTGAGGATTGTATGTTGAGAAGTCTTGAGGTATTGTCACTGGTGCCGTAAACTAACCTTCAAGGGCTGTAACTAAAGCCGATGTTTGGCATTAAGGAGTTTGATAATTAAATCATTACGGGGCCGGTCTGTGACTGCTGCTTTACTTGCAACTCAAAACTCTGTCTGGAACAACTAGTGATAGGGCTGACTGGATCTGGTTTTGGGTGGTGACCTCTGACCTTTACCAGAAATTACAGAGGCATTTTGTTGTGCTCACTCTGCTATTGCTCTGAAACACAGAAGGTCTGTTTTTATTCCATGTGTCATTGATGTCCTTTCATTACCCATCATTGAACTTTTATCACTGTGTGTACTACATTATTAGTACATTACATTAAGAATTTGTGATCACTTTGATCAATATTAAAGGTCCAATGTGTAATATTTAGGAGAATCTATTGGCATTAATTGAAGATAATATTCATAGGTATGTTTTTATTTGTGTATAATCGCCTGAAAATAAGAATTGTTGTGTTTTTGCTACTTCAGAATGAGCTGTTTTTATCTACAGAGGGAGTGGGTCCTCTTCTACGTAGTCCGCCAACAAAACAGTTAGTTATGATATGTTATAATAATACGAACACACCGCTAGATGCCACCAAATCCTAAACACTGGTCCTCTAATGTATTAACCATATTGGAACAGTGACGTCTTAAAGGATGTAATGGAACTGTATAAAAACGCCAATCATAGGTTGCCATTAAATAAACTCAAGTAAAAGCTTTCTTCTTCTCTTTTGTCCCTCTAGAGCTTATCATCTTCTCGGCAAGCGGGTTTTAGCTGTCAAGGTGAGAACTCCTTCCGTGTTGTTGATAGTTTCCTTTAATAAGTGACCCTCGATCTAGTCAGGCCCATCAGAACAGAACGTGTTTATTCTTGTGTTTATTAAAAGCAGTACGTTTTTTCCCCCATGTTTGATTACAGGTCATTCCCCTGGATATCACAGTGGAATTACAGAAGCAGATCATGTCAGAATTAGAAATCCTCTACAAGGTTAGTGTTGACTGATTACATCTGTTCCTCTTTGCTAAAACAATTTCTCTTTTCTCAACTGAATGTTGACCCTACCAGATCTACATTGTGAATAAAGCATGACTCTTACTAACAAAGTGTCATTTGTCACCTCTTGTCTTACAATGTAAGCCAAGGATTAGTGATACGTGGACATGCGCACACACAACCTACACATGTAGTGTGTGTGGAATTAAAATTAAAGTTTCTTTTCAGACAAATAAAGTTGATTGATGCTGCTGAATCATGCTTTTGAGCACTATCACTTAAGCAGGAGTGATCATGAGAAACTTGCGTACAATTCAGGGCCACTACAACACTTTGGTACTCAAATTCCTGATCACATAATAATTTTTCTCTCAACTTCATTATGAAGATGATGTATAAACAAATTTTTCTGTACCACAGGTAAATATTTTGGCATGCTTTTTAATGATCACATTGTCTCTTCTCTTGTTTACAGTGTGATTCACCCTACATCATCACTTTCTTCAGTGCCTTTTTTGTAGAGAACAGGATATCCATATGCACAGAATTTATGGACGGTGAGTTTCTCTGTGGCTTGAGCCGGTAGATCATACATTTTTTTTTTCACAGATATTCACATGCTGTTTAGAAGAGACTTTAGGGAACTGTCCTCCCGTCTCTCTACTGCGTATCCATTTACACTTCTGTAGATCAAGAGAACGTCTTACCACTGTGAGATGCTGAGCATGCCTGTGTGCTAAAAGCTACAAGGGTGTGATAAATCTTGACTTAAGTGCATTTGTAGGCGTGTTTGTATGTGTGTGTGTCTCTTTGGTGTGAGATGGGGGACCGTCTATGTTTTTAGGTGTGTGGGTTTGTCCAAGTGTGTGTTAATCCAGTGATTCCCTGGTTTCACACATTTGCCATCTTGTCAGCAAAGTCTGTCTAACCTTTCAGCACTCTTTACTTCATGAATTGTTTCTTTGATCAGTCACTTCCAGGTGTACTTGATTATTGCAAACAAGAAATTACATTGTTGTGAAAATTGGACTGCATAATGAAAGATCAATGAATGTGTCAGGAAGTGGAATTATAAAAGAGTGAGTATATTCAATATGATTGTCTAGATGGTCTTGACTTTTTTAAATGTACATTGAATGTGTCCTCTGCATTTAAACCATATTAAATCTTTGTGCGGTGGACTGCTATACTCTTTGTAAAAGTCCATGTGTTGTTATTAAAAAATACATTTTGGGGTTGGGAGTTCTGCTATGACATTCAGGAGTGCTTATCTATGAAATGTATTTGAATATTTGTTTTGTGTGAATTTTCAAATTTTGTAGAAGGACCAACAGTTATTTCTTGGCAAGGGCAAATTTTGGCTGCAAACCATTGTGGGTTGTGAATTTGACTTTTTTGTTGTCCCAAACAAGGTGGAGAGCTAGAGATAAGAAACTGTACAACATTTGTGATTCTATATCACTGCCTGAATTAATAATTTGTCGTTTGCAGGTGGTTCTCTGGACGTGTACAAAAGAATTCCAGAGCACGTGCTGGGGAGGATCGCAGTGGCAGTAAGTTTTCATGAAATACTCCCCATTAGTAGTTTGATTACTGAGTAAAAAAGCATTTGAATTTAAAGGTGTGCGCTGGAGTTTTTAGAAACATTTAAATATGTAATCTATTAGAGTGTGATTGTCCATGTGTGGCTGGCAGTCACAGTGTGACCTGTTATTTGTTTGTCGGATATAGAACAGGTCCGAGGAGAAAAATCATTTTATTAATGAGAGAAAAGAAAAGAGAACCACAGGTGTGAATTTTTCAATTAGCTTCTATTTAGTGAAGTGACGGACCAAGTCAGTGTTGTTTTCCCCTTATCCTCCCCTCTTTCCCTTTCACCCTCCCTTTCTACTCTCAGTTAAAACTAGCATTTGATAGAAATGGCCTTGATGTTGATAAATACATGTCTCATTTCCACACTCATTATCCTTCCTCTGTTTCCACCTCTTTTCTGTCTCCCCCCTTTAACTTTGTCCGTAATCAAACAATGACAGCTATTTAGTCAGTGTTAATTCTAATTCACAGCTTTCCCTCCTTTCCACTGTCACAGTTGTTAATTCTCACAGAAGGAAAAGCACCCAAGAGGGTGTGAGTGAAGCTGCACACTGCAGTTGTTGCACTTACACCACCACCTTTTGAGGCAGCAGGACTTCAGAGAGCTTTTGTGCTTCCTTAATTTATCTCAGAGGCTGGCGTACATCAGAGATGGATGACAGGAGCCTAGAGGCTAGAACCAGCTCTCACATCCCATAAATGAAAAAATCATCTCAAAGCAGTGCTACACACTGGGAAATGAGTAATACTTAAACAAAAATATAATGATTAAATGGCTGTACAGAATGTACGTGTGTGGCTATGCAGATGTAATCTCTTGAGTGCTACCAACAGTGCATTTGCGATGGCTGTACAAAAGTGAAAAAAACACGCCTCTCCTCCTCACTTTACAAATATATTACTACTTCCAGTGTGTCTTTTACCCTTGTGTCTCCTCCCAGTCAGTTGTACACATAACACCTCCAAGGAGAGGTTGCCAGGAGCCGTCCTTACTACAAAGTCAATGAATTTCTTTCAATGTGAAGGAGAAACATCTCAATACTGATGGCCTCCCTAACTGCTTGCTTAACTCCTCACTCGACCCTTTAGAGAGAGACGAATCATCCTGTGAAGAAACATTTTCTTGGTTTCTCCTATCTACAGTTTTGTTATTTAGGTAACTACCCAAATCTTGTGACCATACCTGAGGACTGGAGCAAAGATTGACAAATTGAGAACTTTAATGTGTAATTCAGCTCTCCCCTTGACTTCACAGTCTGATACTAAGTCTCCACTAGTGCAGCTGATACACCTAAACTGCATTCAATTTTAGGATTATTTTCCCTGTGATTAAGATTCAGAGATAGTTGAATTTCTCTACTGAAGGCAAGTTCTCCCCCTCACCTGGGTTGAGTGAGTGTGCAGTGGAGTACCTGCCTGAAATAGAGGAATTCTTAGTAGAGATTATTAATATTAATTATCATCTCAAAATTGGAGGGCATCACATTCAGGAAGCCAAAAGCACAACATTATGCATAAATGGTAGAGAGATACACCCCTAAGACATGAACAGAAGTACAGACAAGTCATGCCACTATTGGAAGCCGTGCCCACAGTGTTTGAACCTTTATTGTCCGTCCTCTCATAGCACCATCTACAGAGGCAACAGTTTTAAGCCTTGTTCCAGATATAAAAAGCACATCAGAGTACCAAATTTCTGAGACGCCTCAATTGTCCGCTAGTCTGTTACAAAATAAAGTGGATAACTACCCCTGTGGTCCTCATTTATGAAACAGGCAGTGCCACTCCTGATTACCAATCCAAGGGCAACATGAATACAACAGTAGAGACGTGTGCACCTCAACAGTACAGCAGTATCCAAACCTTTGAGTATTTCAAGATGAATCCTTCCTACACGACTTGTCTCTAAGGGCCTTACAGACCACCTCAGTGAAGTGTGCCATGAAGTTGTGAGATCTAAACAGAGTCACTATTTATTTCCCCTACCTATAAGTACAGTTTGTGTAGTTTAACTGGAGGTAACCGCTTCACATTAGCCAAATTAAATATCCTAAACCTTGAATGATGTCAAAATTAATATAGTTTTTCTTTCATTGGTGTCTCTAGGTAGTGAAAGGCCTGACATATCTGTGGAGCCTGAAGATACTTCACAGAGGTGAGTAAGGTAGTGCATGGGCTCTGTGTTATTAAAAAAAGAGCAGAGTTGATAAAGACAAGCTACAGAGTGCTGATGTTGCAGTTGTATCAAGCAGTTTGTCTCCGCAGATGTCAAGCCTTCCAATATGCTGGTGAACACCCGGGGACAAGTCAAGCTCTGTGACTTTGGTGTCAGCACACAGGTACACTGATTTGTTTGTGTGAGGGTGAGAGAGAGAGAGTGAGAGAGAAAGGATGGAAGAGAGAAGAAGAAAAACAATTGTCTGTAGCCTCATCACCACAGTGTGTGTGTGTGTGTGTGTGTGTGTGTGTGTGTGTGTGTGTGTGTGTGTGTGTGTGTGTGTGTGTGTGTGTGTGTGTGTGTGTGTGTGTGTGTGTGTGTGTGTGTGTGCGCGTGTGCGTGTGCGTGTGCGTGTGTGCATATGGTCAGCCTGTCAATCACTGCATTCATTTTCAACTCAAAACATCAGCGCTATCCCAAGGGTCTTCCTCTCACATTAACTTTCCCCCCCACCTCCATTGTTCTGCAGCCTCACCAAAAAATCACTTGTTATAATTATGACCCACACACAACGGCAAAGCCTCATTGATATGTATTCAGTAGATGTGGGGAAAGCGTGGGTGGCGGACAATGGCCTAGTCATTTTGTGTGTGTGTGTGCGTGTGTATCAGTGTGTGTTTGTAATGTAATCATCAGGGACAGACCTTCAGCGTTCCCCAAAACATCAACCCTGAGGATTCTGCCTCTGTTTTCAACACGCACACACACACACACACACACACACACACACACACACACACACACACACACACACACACACACACACACACACACACACACACACACACACACACACACACATTCATTTTTAACCTCCACTTCCTTGGAAGCTCCAAGGTGAATTTTACACCCTGCATGTGTAACACTAGCAGCATTGACTTGTCCTCTGTTTTTTTAACTCTATTTTTCTGTTTATCTCTCTGTCACACATACGCACTCTCCCTCCCCCTCTCTCTGTAGGGCATGCCTCAAAAAAAAAAACAGCCATAAGGGAACAGACACTCATTATCACAGTCCTGTCATTGATGGCATGTGCCATTGTATCCACACACGCAGACTCACTAATGTATCCTTGTCTTACTCCTGCTCCCTTGTGTGAGGGTTGAGAGCAGCCCAAAATATCAACCTGGCATGTCAATTGATTTAGATAATATAAGTTCTGTCCAGCTAGTGTCTTTTTTTATTCATTAATGTAGGACAATGAAGTAATGACTCCTAAAGGGTTATTTATACGTGTTTAGGTACCTTCTTACGGTCTGTTGATAATAGTCTGAATTTATGTTGATATGCACCATAATTATTTGCTGTTTCACTCTTAATTTAATTTGCAGTTGGTGAATTCTATAGCCAAAACTTATGTGGGAACTAACGCATACATGGCGGTGAGTGATTCTTTGAAGTTCAGTCTCATGTCAAATCATTTTAAAAATGCACTATGAGTTAGCACAGGAGTAACTTTGTTTGTTTTTGCTGCACAGCCGGAAAGGATATCAGGGGAACAGTATGGAATCCATGCAGATGTGTGGAGTGTGGGAATCTCTTTCATGGAGGTACAACAATGTTTAAATGGCTTCATGACTTCATAACTATTTGTACACAGAGAGAAGTGTGAGACACTTATGGAGAAAAAGTGGTCCATTTCACTTTTTTGTAGGTATGCAATTGGGTATCATACACTTCAAATGGAATAGATTGCATTGTATGTCTTTAGACTGAGTGTTGCTCATCGTCTGAGAGATGCATATCTGTTTGTGTTTCCGTGTGTGTGCATCAGTATCTGTTTGTCTCACCCAATAGCGTTGATTGTGCTTGACTGACACCCTGCGTTTTCAAATAACATTTTAATTTCAGGATAACACTTCCCTGGTCTCTTGTCCTCCCACTGACGTTATTGATTCTCCATCTGTTTCTGTCCACGGCTCTCCCTCTGTAGTATAACAAATGATTTGGGATTCTGCCTCGCCTTTGTTTGTCAATAATGTTTAATATCATTACAGTTATAACGATAATGGATGAGTTCACAGGGAAGGAGCCGTGTCAAAATTATTGACATGATCTTTGTGAGATAAAGAGTTTTATAGCAGTGGACCCCCTGGCCCTGTTCTCTTTATTTCTAGCTGTGGATGTGTGCATTAAGTTAAATTAAATGGTTTGCTCCATCCCACTCAATTTGGATTGATCTTTAGCCTACTAGTTGGTCTATTTATGTTCAAGGAAAGACCGTGAGCATTTTGACGTTTTAATAACGTAAAGTTGCCAATAAGCTGCCCTTGACCAAGATGAAAAATGCCCACCCCAAGTGAATTGCCAAATGTCAGGGAGAGCTGTCACCCAGCCCCCCCCCCCCCCCACACACACACCAAAATAACACACATTACATAGAACTGTCCCACAATCGTGTCCTCCTTCTCTTTATCCCTCTATTTTGTTCTCCGCAGGGGGTAATCGTAGGGGGGTTATTAACTAATAGCTGATGTTGTTTGATGAGGAAGTGTTATCAGCAGGTGGGCACTAAGCTTACCTCAAAGACAGAAAGTCTCAAATTCTGCACGCTTCAGTAGCCTTAGCAGTATGTTCCCTTCTGCGTCTACACTTGAACTCCATGCCATGAAGACACTTGGAATTGAAAAGCATGTATACATGGGTGGATGCATTGTGATGAGTGGATTCCAGCAGCCATACAAGAAATTCTACATTTGTGTCAGAAGTGTAACTCAACCTTGAGGTCCCTTTAAGGCCATCGTTTCTTGTGTTGCTATCATGGACTGCATTATATTGTCAGTGATATATAATCTACACACTCCTGCAGTATCTGTTAGGGAGGTGGGTGAAATATAAGACACAGCCTACAATATGAATTTACTTACAGGACCAGCAGTGTGTATGATTTAGTGGCATCTAGCGGTGAAGATGCAGATTGCAACCAACTGAATAACACTTGCCTTCCAAGCATGTATTAGAAATTATAGTGGCCACAAATCTAATGAAAAGGCCCTATCTAGAGCCAGTGTTTGGTTTGTCTCTTCTGGGCTGCTGTAGAAACATGGCTGTAAAGGATCTCTCTGTAGATAAAAACAGATCATTCTAATGAAAACTCAACAGTTATTTATTTGATATTTTCATGTGATTATACACTATTTAAAACCCACCTATCAATATTATATTATATTTGTGGCAATAGATCCTTTACCTTTATCTTACACACTGGACTGTTTGATTTGATTGCATTAGTTTGAATGGGTGCTCACAAATATTGCCTCAACCTTTTTAGAGTATATTTAATAATTTCAAATGTCTCAAGAAGAATCTAACATCTTATTGTTATTAAAATTGTATTATTACTTTGTTTTCTACACAGTTGGCGCTAGGCATGTTCCCCTATCCACAGGTACGTTTTTTGCACTTTTTACATTTATTTGTATTTTTTTAGTCAATCTCCACCTAAAAATATCCACATTAGTAGATTTGTTTAAACTGGTTTTGGCTGTTATAATTCCTGTTGCAAGTATCAGTGTCCTCAATGGTTAAACTGCAGTATTTGTGCTGCAAGTTGCAATTTTTTTTCAAATCAGGAACGTTAATAAGTTTCATATAGTTTGTTTTATGTACATTTAGTACCTTTTAAACATTTTCCTCAGTGAAGCATTTATATAATGGGGTTTTCTAATGATTTAAAACTTTTTATACATTTTAGTCTTGAGGCACTAATCATGATTCAAGTCCCTGAAAGATGTCTGTTAACCTCAAAATAATAATATATCCACATTCTGTGATCTATTTTACTTTCTAGATTAGTTGTTCAGTGCTGATATATACCTTTAAATGTCTAAATCTACTGTTTGGGTTCATTTTTTTCCCTCCATTAGACTTAGAAGTTTAAATCCTGCTCAAATGTAATTGCCGACCACAGAAGTGACTTCCCAATCTCATCAAGTCTTAATTAGCCCTTTTAAGATGGGTTTATCTCACTAATCCCTAGCAGAACAATCTAAATCTGGTTACCTCAGGTTACCTCCTGGCCGCACGCCTTCACCAAATGTAAAGGAGCAGATTTGATCTAATGGCGACTACAACTACTGTCAGCCATGGACACAAGGAAAAGAGAAAAGGAAAAACATCTTGAAAGTGTTTTAGCACATTTGACCGTTTTTTCGTGTAATTTTTCCTGCGGGTGTAATGTATGCAACACTTGGACTGCTCTGTCAGTTAAATTAAACTTCATTGTGGTTGATTAAAGAGGCAGAGTGTGATGTAACCACACCACTGTCTGCCCAGGGATTGCCTAAGTGACTGCTTCCTTTCAGTATGGCAACCATCCTTGGTGGGAAACGGAACCAATTTACTAAACGTTTGAGTTGGATGTCATATGAGACTTTTAAAATCTCAACAACTGTGCATTAAAATGAACTGAGATTTATTTTAGGCCATAGGGATTGCGGATGTTAATGTAAGTTACCTCTTTTTGAAAATGTTATCCTGTTAACAGTATCTATTATGTACTGAGATAAATCCACGTGTTTTTGCAAGAATTAATTCATCACCTAGTTGCGTATTTCAACGGTAAACAGCCATCTGTTACCGTCATGAAACAGCGATTCCCTTACTAGATCATAAGCCATGATGAAAAATATATGTAGAGGTGTGTTTAAGGTTATGTAAATGTCACTCAATGATCAATCCGTGTGTCTACTTGTGTGGAGTGTTTATGACTACAGCTTAGGGTGTGTCTGCTTTTACAGTGCTGTTCCTTTATTTAATGCTTCTTTTATCATGTTAATTGCTAGTTTATTTTTGCAAAGTAGTTTTTACTACCTTCAGTGATATAAATGGGATAGACGAAATATTAGAGACACCTCTCAGTTTATAGTTTGGGCTCTCCACTGTCACGCAGTGTTCTTCAGCTCAGTGTTAATTTTCCCCTAACTCCATATGGTACTGCAGACAGTTCACCTGCAGGCTGTAGCAGAGCGGTGTGGCGAGAGCGCTCGGATCCAGCTCGTCAGGCGCAGCCAGCCAAAGTCCTCGGGCCTAAGCTGTCATTTTTGCAGACGCTGGCACAGCTGTCTGTGCAAAACCCCCTGCTACATTTCACAGAGAACATTTTAGTACAGGCTGAGGGAGAAGTTGGAGAAGATGAAAGCGCGGGAGTGATTGGAAGAGAATCAGTGGAATTTGAGTTTCCACTGTAGGACTAGTGGAAGATACGGAAGTTATTAAAGTTGAATCTGGTTTTGAGGCTTTTGTGATTTGCAGCATTGTGTGGGGTCTTTAGTTCACCCCTTACATGTGCTCTTGCCAATTGCTTTCATTGGTGGATGTTTACTGTAGTTGATGCATTATCTCTCATTCAGTGTATTGTGTGAGTATCTATACACAAGCAGTGGAATCATCACCTCATGTTTGTCATGATTAGAGATGGTCTCTTTAATTCCACTTCACCACATGTCGGGATTCATTTGCGTCCTTTGTCAGGAGTTAATGGAGTTTTTGCACGGCTCGCTCTGAAAGTCTTTGAAGACACCAGACCCGATGTGATGTGTATACAGCCGCCAGCGCTATTGCTTCTGATTGATTTGTTGTCTTTTTGTTTGCTCTTTGGTTGTTTTTGTTTCTCTTTGTCATATTTTCTTAAATTTGAATGAATTTCTGGATGAAATATCATGTCAGTTTTTTGTGTGTATTTTTCAAGAGCTTCCATTACACATCACTGCATCCATCAAAAACAGCTTAGACGCTTTCCATTTGTTACTTTGTTTTTTCCTCTCAAATGAAAGGAAATAATATTGCACTACTATGCACCGTGTGTGTGTTGTAAACAATGATCGCTGTAATTTTTTCAGCACCCTATGTCCTCCAAACTCTTTTATACATTTGCTCGGTCACATGTCCTCCATTAATAAATCTGTTATAATTTGATTTCCATGTAGTGAACTTCCCTTTTAGGCTTTAGATTACTTTACAGATAAAAAATCTTATAGCCCCTTCCCTCTCAATCATAAGTACATAAAGCTTCACTCTGTCAGTCAAAATTTGTTACCATGCTAATTATCACTCACACATTTTTGAATAATGCACAATGTCAGCATAACCTTGTATTTTCCTTCTCTGTGCAGCTGATGAATGATTCATGGATTTGGGTTATTCTATCACTAATCAAACAGTTGATGAAAATCTAAATTTACTGCTTTATAAATCTAAGCTGGGCACTATTGAAGCTTTTGGTTATGAAAGGATGTCAGTTTGGAGGAGATAAGAGAAGAGCTGAGGTACGATCTCAGGGTAACACATCTGAGGCTAACGGAGTGACTTAGTAGTTGTTGTTGACCTAACAATAAAGAGAAAGAACAGAGAAGAAGACCACTCACCCTTTCCCCCTTCTTATAGTGAGATCCCTATGGTGCCAGAGAGGCACTGCCCTTGCACATAACCAACATGTACTTGTAAACCTTTGGTGAAATTGATGGTTTTGATCAAAAAGGGAGTTTTCTGATTGCTTATCCTTGAAGAAATATCTTTGATATGCTGAAGGAGGAAACAGCCATCTGCTCTTTAAGAAGTGTTTATTGAGTTGCTCTCGAAAGAAACAAAAATTGTTTGATTTCTTAAAAATTGAATTTGTGACTTCTTATTTTCACGCAGAGATATTTTCAAATAATAAATCAAGTTTGATGTGGCTCACAAATTGTCACAAAGCCACTTGAGTGGCTTGTAACAGGGCACTGTAGCTCAAAGGAACAAGAAGCTGATTGTTCTAAACAACTACAATTGTTATTTAGTGATACACTCAGTCCTACATAGACTTCATACAGTGAATGACATAGGTCCCTTCCCACCTTCTGCAGCAAACAGAACACCCTGGCTTGTCAAAAATCAACATGTTTGTACTTCTTAAATGAGATATCAGATGAAAATTTGAAGATATGTATTATTGGAAAGTACTTTTTAAGTGTAAATGCCATATTAAACAATGTTTACCCTCGAGACGAACGTGCAGATAATGATATGTCTACCAGATAATCAGCCCACAGTGATGAGAGACTCTGTTAAGAGGGAAAGATAGGGAGGGATTATTAAACCTCTCTTTTTGATATGTGGTCAAGTTACCTAGTACAAGAAGAATAAGTGCTCAATTATGCTTGAATAAGTTAGTCTCCCACTATCCAATTTCAACCCCTGGAGCAGCACGCAATTTTGTCCTAGTAATTATTTCTGAACAAATTAGTTTTCCATAGTTGCCTTTAATGTGTCTGAATCAGGCAAAACTGGATATAGAGGCAGTTTAGGAGTCTCTTGGCATTTGCAGAGTGTGAAAACCTGTATTTAATTGAGTGAATCAATAAGTGCTCTAATGCACTGTCAAAAGACCTGGAGAAATTAGCAATTTATTTACCAAACATTATTAGACATTTAGCTGAGCCTAGGTTTCAGGCCTTACATCATTTAGTCTATATGATAAAGTAAAAACTTTTGTTTTTGTAAGGAATTAAAGCGGATTGTCCTGATAAATTCAGTCCTGCGGGTTTTAAATAGGAAGCCTAAATGTTTTCTGTTGTTTTGTCGACATCATCAAAATTAAAAGTTCCTGTTCTTGCTCATATTTTTTAAGGACTCAGACCTTTCATATCTTTTGATTGTGACCATTTAAATTATACTTAGTAAGTCATATATTGAATTTATTTGTCTATATTTTGTTTCTCTAATAAGTCCAACGCTAGTTGTTTGGAGGTATTTTAATCTTCAAACATCCACTTTCAAATAACTTTTTTCTGTTTTGCCATGTCCAAACAATGGTACCTGTAACCCTGTTGGCATCACATACGAAGGTAGCTTGCCATGTCCCGTTCATTGATCGTGTTGCACCTGTGAAATCGACACATTGAGCATTCTCATTGCAAATCTTGCTCATAATGTTAGTAACAGTTATTCTACATCCCAGCACATTTGGATAACCTGGAGGGCAGGAATAAAGTACTACTCTGGAAATTAGCATTAGTGGATTTTTTACCCCCATTATCCACAAATGAGAGCAAGACCATTAACATTTGTGTGTTTTCATTTTGTAAATGGTGTTAACGCATACTCACAAATTGCCAACAGGAAAGCAATAATTTTCTCCTAGTGATCATAATGTGTCCAAGTGCATCATTTTGATTATGACACGCTAATTACATATTGCCTCATTCCTTCTCCTCTGTCTTGCCCTACAGATTCAGAAAAACCAAGGATCTTTAATGGTAAGTTTTATTGCATTAGAATAGGAGGAAAGAAAATAGAGGTCTCCCACACTATAGTCTGTTACTCTTGGTTGGCTCTCTCATTTGAACAAACACTCAAATTGCATTTTCGCAATGAAATATTAGATCATGGTTAAACTGCTGGTATTACATTAGGTGCCATTATAGAATAATAAAAACATTCAGGAGCTGAAGGATGGCTTTGTCTGAGCTCACTGCATTTGATTAATCTAAGTAGATACTTTATTTTTTTTTATCACACTATTGATTTTCCTTATTGCCAAGATATTCCAATGTAGGCTAACATGTTTTTTTCATCTCTCTGTCTCTCCTCTTCCAGCCTCTCCAGTTACTGCAATGCATCGTTGATGAGGTGAGTCGCCGTCTTATGTGCTTTTGCATCTAAAGTCAGTCCTAATGGCCCGGAAAGCTTATATTTTGTTTCCTAATGAAGCAAACCACTCAGGCGGCTTTGCTCCCCACTCACTCAACCCTTCACCCTATGCAACTGCCTCAGGCAATACACATATGCACACGCACATTACTGTAGAGGTTGGACCTGTCATGAGTGACACAAACACATAGCAGCATAGCTCTGAATTCTGTATGCTGCAGAGCCAAACACCAAAGCAGACAAAAATTTGTTTAACCAAGACTGTTCTCTTGACTGCACTGGGTGTTTGTTTCCATATCAAAATGCATAACACTCACAAACACACAACTGAAAACCAAAGTGAGGGCTTAGCAATCTAATATGTAACATCATGTATACATAATAATTTCATAAGATGTTATTTTACATATCTACCCCCTCTCTAAACACAGGTGTCCTTTATTTTAGTTTTTTTTTTTGTTTAAAAGTTGACCTCCCCTACATATTTTATTCGATTGCCTCCACTTTCCAATGATTTCACAGCTCCACGCTCGTAACTGATTTAACAGTTAATAACCTGAAAACAACACATCTCCTTATAAAAAAATAGACAGAGCAGTGGCACATTACAGTCTATGATGTCTCTTTACGTTTACCTAGGTTACATCTAACATCTGCTGAAATACTCTTTTTCTACTTTTTGATGTACGGACACTATAATTGTGTCTGTGTACATGAATGTGTAAGCTCCCACTACCTACATTTTCATCAGCAAAGGCAACCTTTCCCTCCTCTCTCTTTTCTTCCTCCTTGTCAGTTCTTTGCTGACCTACACTAATGGCAAAAATGTCACAAGACCTCTCGAGCCTAAACCAGCCCCTCAAACCCCATCACCAGCCATATCACACATTAAACATACAGTGTCACTTGTCCTTAGCTGCCTATGGATTGGGCGTAATTAATAATTAAATGCTTTTGGTTGTAATGGATTGACCCAGGCTGAACTGTTCATTAGTCAGCTAGACGGAGGCATCAGTCAAACTATTTTTCCTGTGCCTTTTCCTGTTCCTCCCCTTGAAGCGAGAGAAAATTCTCAGTTGTCCCTAGTGAGCCTTACTGTCCCAGCTAATGTAGTGCTTTGGAGGAAGAGACAAGAGGATAAGCACTCTTTGGAAAGATGAAGTTGCTCAGAGAGAATGTAAAGGTTGAGGACTGCACTACAGTGAGGAAGTATTCACACTTCAATGTGCAGTAGAATACCCAGAGAAGAGCTCTTAATGTTCCTGTGTTGTTGCCAGTTCAGGACCTAGTACACCGCAATCCCTTGCCTTGCTCTTATCATTTTGAGGCTACTTAAAGGATACAATTACCAAACTAGTCCTTATCTGTTAGATGTTAATGTCTGCCAGATTTCTGAAGAAGGCTTTTAACAGTGCCATTATATTCATTGTAAAAGCTCTCTGTCCACGGGCTGTGTTCCCACCTGCCTTCAGCACACAGTAGTGCACTTACTTCTCAAGAAACGTAGCCTTGACCCTCTGGATTTTACACATTTTGGACCCATTTTTATCAAATGTTTTAGAGAAAATTGTTTACTTAAAGGTCCATGGAGTCTGCCATGTTGAACAGACACGTTTCTACAGTAGTCCAGAAGAGACTAAACCAAACACTTGCTCCAGATAGGGGCGTTCGCATTTCCAAAATATTATTTACTTTTATCAATAATCATTATATCTTTCTATTTCAATCAGGTCAATCAATTTCATGTCATAGCACCAAAACTGCCCTCATTAAAGTACCAAACAATCTTTTACTTAAAGCTAATGCTGAAGATTGTTAGATTTTGCTCATGATTCAGTTCTATTGGATAACCTTGAAAAGTATGTTGGCATCAATGATACAGCTTTAGACTGGTTAAAATTTTATTTATCAAACAGAACTTTTTTGTAGTGGTTGGTGATGCTTCCGTTTGACCTGTGGTGTTCCCCAAGGCAACCATCCTTGGCTTGGCTCTTTGTTGTTCTGTGTATACATGCTGCCACTAGGATATAGACATAAACCCAAAATTCAGTACCATTGTTATGTGGATGACACGCAAATTAAAAGACATTTTATTTTATTTTCGTATTATTTTTATTATATTTTTTTATATTCTATTTGCCATATTGCAGTCCTGAAATGTTTTAATTCTGGTTCAACCCTCTAAAGCACTTTGTAATTTTGTTTTCAAAGGTGCTGCATAAAAAAATATATTGTTATTATAGTACATTTGGAGGCATCATGGAGCCATATGAGTTGCCTTTTTATTTGTCCTTCATAAAAATACCTGTATTAATGGACTAGTGCTGATCCCATGGAGTAGTTAATTTAATGCTAAGGTATTTTTAATTGGGCTAGACACACCTGACTTCAACATCATGGCGGGTGTGATAAATTATACCTGAATCACTGACATTTAGTAAATATTGCGCATTGGTACATACTGTAGATGTGATCCAGATACTTTTTATTTTCTTTGGTTGTGATGCTTTGATATTGTGTATGACTTATCCGCTGGAGAGTTGAAAGTTGCTGTAATGGCTGAATGAGTAATAGGCTCCTGTGAGTGGATCATTAATATTATTGTAGCTAGAGGTATGTTTATGGTGGTGGGTGGAGTGTGACAGTCTGCCTCTCTTTTTCCTTTCTTTTTCTATCACACACAAACACACAGTGAGGCATGGCTGGGAAAGGCTCAAATACAGATACAGTCTCATGAGGCTTAAAATAAAGACCAAATAAATGTGGAGAGGATCATTAAGTTAAGGTAGACAGATTAACAGACTCGCAAAGGATTTGCAGATTCAGTCGGCATTTCAACAGAGGTTTTTTTGTTAAAATTTACATTTTATGAATCCAAAAGGAATATCTCATTCTAGAAACAGTGTCCCCATTTAACACAAGCTGTCCACATTTTTCATAATGGCCCCTTTCTTTGGTAGAAAGTAGTTGGAGTTAAAATAATTGAATATTGAGATACATTGTTGGCTTAACAAATGCAGTATTTAATAGATGCTTATGTAGAAATTGCTTTCATGCAAGGCCAGCCCACAAAGCAAACAACAAAACCTGGACTCCTAAATTTTTGAGTCAGCTTTGATAATCTTTTGTTCATTTAGATGAGTATTTGGAGAAAACCAAAGGACACCATAACCCTGCAATATAAGATCATATTATAGGATCAGATATAAACTACACTTATCCCCCCCCATTCTAGTAAGAGTTAAGTTATAATGAGGCCAAAGAAATAACCTATCCACCATTTAAGTGAATAGAAACTGCTTCTTTTTAAATATTAGTTGGTATGAATGTATGACAGAGAAAAATACTCTCCTTATTCATCACAGGTTGTGAACAAGAAGTTCTCTGTAGTTGTTCCTACCATCTGTCTGCTGTCCACCCTCATTAATGTGCCTCTCTCTCCTCTATTTGTTGAATAGCAAGTGGCTTCACTAATAAAGAACTCCCACTTTATTTTCAAGCCTGTAATTACTGATCTAATTTTGCCTAATAATTGCTTCATGGCAATGACATGTATATTTACTCGTACCCTTCTACCCTCGTAGTGTGTGTTCTGTCTCATAGTGGAGCGCGTTGACAACCAGAGGAATAATTCACGCAGACTAGCCACTTTCATCAGCCTGCTTGTCTTTTGTGCCATCGCCTGCTGCCACATCAAAGCTGCAGCGGTGTTCCTCTCAGCTGGAGACATGAATACATGCATAAATGTGTGTGTTTGTGTTTGTGTCTGCAAAAAGGTGCATGTGCATGCAAATATGTGGGGAAAGTGCAGAGAGAGATTTTGTATCAGATTTAGCCTACACAACACATAAATTAGTTGTGTCGTCAACACTTTACACAAACCGTGAGTCCAATTGATCCTGTTTTTCTCTGTGTGTGTGTGTGTGTGTGTGTGTGTGTGTGTGTGTGTGTGTGTGTGTGTGTGTGTGTGTGTGTGTGTGTGTGTGTGTGTGTGTGTGTGTGTGTGTACACCATAGTACAGTGGTTGCAAATTATTTGGTACTCTCCCCCTAAACGGAGTGTACGTTCAAGCTTGTGGTGTGCATTGCTCAAGGGCATTTGTTTGTGCATGCCTGTGTGTATATGTGCATGTGCTATGATATATTGCTCATCCAAGCGGCGGCAGCACTGTGAAGTGCAGTGAGATTAGAAGGGAACCCATTCCTTTGTTAATTTAAATGGGTTCATGCATCATGCTTTGCAGGAGCCTGCCGATCAGAGCACTAAGGAATGGCGAACACTGCCCAGAGGTGTTTTTAATGGCACAGCAGGGTTCAGATGTAAAGAGGTTTAATTCCCTGCATTTGAATAAACGCCTGGTTGTGAACCCAGATTTTGTGGTTCTTCTGCACATCTTTTGTTGTGTATTTTTGTTAATATCTTTGTTCATATCATCGGATCTTACTGCTGTGCATGTTTTAAGTCTTTTAGGATTTGCACCTAGTATTTATTTAATGGTCAACTTGATATTTTCTGATAGTATCTCTTGTATCTGAGGTAAAAATTGCTGTCTTGTGCACATGCTGGTGTGTTGGGATGCAGTACCTTGAATTTCAGTGTCACATATAGAGAACTGGGTATTTTAAAAATCCAGAATTGCTGTTGTTTTGTGTAATTCCAGTTTTCTCATTTGTATGGGCTGAGCTTATGTATTCTGACATTTACATATACTATATATTTGAATTCTATATTTTAAAACGTACAAAAAGTATTTGTATAAATTGTACCACCGTATACTATATATACAAAATACTTTGAATTAATGTGTAACTTCAACCCTGTCTATCTATCATTGGAACCTGCCTATTGTTTTGTTTTATTTTTTTTTCTTAAAATTAATTAGAAACTAATTTTCAAGACTAAAAAAAGAGAAAAATCCTGGTGCTTTTCATACAGAATTTCATGCTTAGCTCTCTTCTACAGTTTAATGTCATTGAGACAAAGAAAGAGAATACACATATTAATTTGACACAGCAATTGCTATGCAATGGTAAATACAGTTTTCTCCAAGGATATAGATGGTGAAATAAGCGTAAATATTAAGAGCTTTTCATCGTGACAGCCAAAGGTAGGGAAAGAAGCAGTGAGAGGAGGGAAATGGATGGAGTAATGAGGTGAGGGGCAGTAATAGAGGGTGAGTCTGGCCCAGCTGTTCTACATGACACGGTTCATAGAACCTCCATTGACAACATGTAGCAAGCCTGGCGCACGCACACACAAACACACACACACACACACACACAGACACACACACACACACCCCTTACTATTGTTCATTTTGGCAGCAATTTCCAGATTTCATCCTGGGCCTGAGATCAGATTTCCATGTGAGTTTTAGTCACATTTCGTCAACTTTATCCCTCATATTTTAAGTAAATTTTGTTTGAACAGTGTTGTTCTAGCTTAAAGGATCATAATGTAAGATTTATCTTGTGTGATTGAAAATGCTGCTTTTTCAAAGTGCTGGTCTGCCGCAAAATTAATTAATTATTGAAAGTAAAGTAGCCAATTCAGTCATTAAACATTAGTTGATAGTAAATTTGTTAGAGGAAAACTAAGAAGAAAATTATTCTCTTTACATGAAATATAAACAGTCTGTCAGTTAGGACAGTATTTCAGGAACATAGTTAAAAAACTGCTATCAAAGGCTATTCTTTGCCTGAATAAAATAGTTAAAATTTGACTGCACAAAGCTTTCTCTCACACCATCCCTCAGCGTAAGAGAGTGAAAAACCACATTGTCGGAAAAAGGAACAGTAATCAAGAAAAGTCTCCACCATTCAGAAATGTAGGCTTCATTTGAATGGCTTAACATAGCTTGTAATGCCTTTAATTACCCCAGTTTCTGTGTCCAGGTGCACCTTCTGGTATCTCCTGAGATTTGTAGTATTTGTAGTTTAAAGCCTTTGTCTCCCAACACCATGACTTTTTTTTTTCTCCATGGCATTACACTGTAAGTAAAGTGAATCCAAACATCCACCTTTTTCCTACCAAGTCTTGTTGTTGCATCAGGCATTTTATCTACCGTCCTCTCACGATGGTGAAATTCTCCACAACTGTTCACACTGCAGGTGCCACAGGGAAAATTAGTCCAGTGATAAGCAGGAAGAAAAAATTATGCACTTGTGTCGAGGATGTTTAAATGAGCAGTATTAAAAGTTGATTTGTCATCACTTTGGTGAATCTTTTAAGTCTCAATGCATTACTTTGGGTAACAGTATTAAAATAAGATTTATTCACTATATGGTTATTATATTACCCATTTTATTATTAGCATATTTTACCTTCACAAAACACTACCTTATACAGGTAGCATAATTTACCTACCAGCACTTCTAAAGCTCACTAAATAACATAATGTATCAAATCACTATTTTACTCCTGCACATAAACTCCGGTAAAATGCAAGTTGTGTTGGAAAAAAAAAAGTCAATAAGCACATTTCCCAAAATGTCTAACTTTTTTTCAAAGGCCCAATGTGTAGGATTTAGTGGCATCTACCAGTGTAGTTTCAGATTGCAACTCCCTCGCTTCACCCTCCCCATCCAAGCACAACATGAACAGCCCGATCTAGAGCGTGTTTGGTTTTGTCCCTTCTGGTCTACTGTAGAAACATAGCAGCTATAACCGCTTATCCCCTGGAGGGTCACGGGGGGCTGGAGCCTATCCCAGCTGACACTGGGCAAGAGGGGGGGTTACACCCTGGCCAGCTTGAAATGAGAGTTCAATGGCAGTTATATGTATTAACAGGAACAGTTGGACAAAAGTTCCAGCAGTTGTTGATATAGTTTATTAACAATTGTTAATGTTGTTAAATTGTGACATGAATTGCTATTCCATGGTTGTCATGTTGTTTTAGTAATTTCAACATTGGCAGAAATCCCTCTTCGACCCATCTTTATACAAGTCAATGGGTTGACCCAACAAGACAAATGTTCTGTCACATAGCAGATGTTGTACATTAACTTGACTGCCAATCACTACTCAGTGCTCCTATGAATACAGAGGACAAAGAGTGCAGAGTGTATCCTTAAGGTCAAACACTAAAGTGTAGAAGAAAGGTACTTAATTCTGAACCTCACCGGATCCACGCTCTTCAGTGTTATCTACTCTTTGAACAGATGCTGTATCAGTAATCGTATAATGTTGCTCTTGATGTAAATGTATTTACCTTGTGCACCTTTGGGACCTTGTCATTTTTAATTAAGCACTACAGCTTATAGAAACCCTTTGCTGTAGTCTTTAGGCAGAACCAGCAACTTTTCCCACTTTGCCGATTTACGCATAGCTCTTTTTTTCTTCCTCAGCTGACCCTGGTGGGTTCTCCGTAACTTTTTAGGTTTAAAAATACATACTCTGAGATTTCCTCCTGCTAGTAAACGGCTCTGGATGAGAGCAGAATCCCATCTGACTCCAGGTGTTTGTTCCTCCAGAAGCTCCGGCTCTGCCTCTGGCTCTCTCTCCTCCAGCAGCAGTGGCTCTATCCCACCGCTCTGCCATGTCCTCCCCACACAACACTCTAAAAAGCCCTATCATGTGTGCAAATTTGATGCTCAAGCTAAATATTTTCAACTCTTGCGTATTTTTAGGGCAAGGAGACGGACCTCACTGTTTTTTTTTTTTTTTTTTATCACAAGCTGCTTATCTGCACACATAACTGACACAGAACGTTGTGCTGCTTGTTCACTGGTCAGTGCAGCAAACCTGTATCTGCTCATCAGTGACTTACAGTGAATTCTAAAAATGTAAATGTTGCCTAAATTGTTTTGTTCTTTTCACAGGATCCTCCAGTTCTTCCTGTCAGCCAATTCACTGAGAAGTTTGTTCACTTCATCACTCAGTGGTGAGTCAGTTGCTGTTGGTGTTTGATATGCTTTGTTTCTAGAAAGGCAAAAAAGAAATTAAGTCAATTAACGACCTTCAGATTTTAAATGGAAATTGGTCCGTTTTCAATATCTGTTGACTGTATAGTGCATTTGTTTGTGATTCTAGTTTGTTTTATTATAATATGTGTATTGCCAACCATCCAAGCCCCACAGAGCAGGACTAAACAATTACAAAGACCACAAGCAGCATTTGAGATAAATGAACCAAATTATCGTAGACGAATCAAAGGAATACTGGTATACAATGGGATTAAAGTGCATTTGCCCGTGTGTTAATGCATTGTGGTTATAATGGTTTTAGCTATAATTTTGAGTGCCACTGATATTGAATAAAAAGCTCTTCTTTTTTTTCTTTTTTTTACAAGGAATGATTGATTTATCTCAGGCAACAAGACAAAGACAATGTTTACCCTGCGTTTGTCCTGATTCATTAGCCGCTTGTAACCTTTACAGTCACACAAATATCTACATACGCACCCAAACCACATGCAAGCTGTGTGTGTGTGTGTGTGTGTGTGTGTGTGTGTGTGTGTGTGTGTGTGTGTGTGTGTGTGTGTGTGTGTGTGTGTGTGTGTGTGTGTGTGTGGCACTCACACACTATACCAGCTGTTGTTTAACCCCCATGCCTGCTTTATTTATTCAAACAAGCCTCTTCTCTCTCAGGACAGACAGAGGTACTGGTGCCCTGCCCTGCATTGTGGCAGGGCTGCCACTATCTGCTCCCAGGCTATTCTCAGAGGATCATGGCCCATTCATTGTGATACATAAACTAGTTACATCACTAACTGCAGACAGGCCCCTGATCTAATTCCTCAAAGACCCCAATATAGGTTATATACATATTATAGAGGGTACTCACAGAAACACACATAAAGCCACTGAACCAATCTGGTGACTGCTAAACTTTTTAATGAGTTATAAGAAATATTAATTGAAATTAGAAGTATTAATTAAATTATTCTTATCAACATAAATGTGCTGTGTTATTAGGCTATAGTGTTTTGCCCTCTTTTTCAGTTTCTGTGGCATGTTTTTTTTTTTTAAAGCCTCCTTTTGATTATCCTCTTGATAAATTAAAATAATTAGGAATGGAATAAAAGCATGCCTTGCACAATTACAAACACATTTTGAGTAGCGGTTTGATATAGACTATCTCTTTTTTTCAGTATGCGGCGGCAACCCAAAGAGAGACCTGCCCCTAATAACCTCATGGTAAGTTAAACCAAGCCTTCCATTAAACAGTTCCAAGGACCACAAAATATAGGTGTTGAATAACTGTGTTCAGAGGGTGATCATATTCATGCATTCCAATAAAAATTCAATTAAACATAATTTTATTATCTTGGTAGTTTTGGGGAGTTTACAATTGTATTTTTTGCAATGATTGGGGTGTTCTGGGTCAAGGACCCTCCAACTTGGTATTGCTGTCTGGAAAGAACAGTAATGAACTTGTTGCTGCCAATGAAAGGTGTCAGAGAGATGTCAGCGAGAAACCTTGAGGTAGGGTTGAAACCTACTTCAGCGATAATTCGTTCAATTCACTGCATTGATGCTAACCTGAATGTATCAGGCCTAGTTGTTGTACAAGAGTCAAATAATTCTAGTTTACAAAAAATATGTTTTATAGCCTAATGAAAATTTGGGACAAAAGGAAGTAATTTGTGTAATTTAATTTGTGTGTGTGTGACCGGGAGAAATTGTACCCAACACATTGTAGACTTATTATTTTAACATGTTTCCTCTACAGAACATAATTAATTCTCAAAATCCTAAAAGTAAACTGTCAACAAAGTGACCTCATGTCTCATCTGCAATTAAGAGACGTGGAGAAACCATCGCTGTTTTCTATTAATTTAAATCACAAAGTCTGTTTCAAAATGTATTTCACATCACCTTTTCTTTTTGGTCATTTACATTTAAAAAAATTTTTTAAAAATTATTACTCATTTAGGTTACATGGTCCACTGTGCAATATTTAGGATAAATTAAATATTCTTAGGTATGTTCTCATTCGTTTATAATCAACTGAAAACAAGAATCGTGTTTTTGTTACCTTAGAATGAACTGTTTTTACCTACAGAGGGAGTGGGTCCACCATGTTGAAACACCATGGTCACCTTGTCCTACACACTGGTCCTTTAACAGCCTTTGACAGGGTGTACTTTATATTGAAACTTCTAATTGGCTCCATTCCTCTAGATTAGGTATATATCGTATATATATATATATATATATTATATATTATGTAAACCAAAAATAAAATATTCCAGAGCACACAAGAATACTAAGATTGACACTGTTTTATTACATTAAAAACAAAACAAGAAGGAGCAAACTGCATTTCGCATGTGGCTTCAGCAGGTTTACTCTGTGCCTAAAGGTCCAGTGTGTAGGATTTAGTGGTGCCAAAGTTTGATTTTGAAGTTTTAAGTTCAGATTGCAACTCCCAGCTCCATCCTCCTTTTCCAAGCACAGAGGAGAAAATATGGGGGCTGCAGAAACAGCCCTATCTAGAGCCAGTGTTTGGTTTGTGTTTGAACTCTGCTGAAGAGGACCCACTCGCTCTGTAGGTAAAATCAGCTTATTTTAAGGTAACAAAACCACAATAATTCTTATTTTCAGGTGATTATTTACTGATGAAAACATACCTATGAATATTATATATATATATATATATATATGACTCTACATTCTTTCTAAATGTTACACACTGGACCTTGTAGGTGTACCTTTAAATAATCCACCAGGTTCACATTCCAATACAATTCAATAGGAAATTCTACTATCCAAGATTAGATGTTAATATTACATTTGCATTAGACAATGAGGTATAATTCCTGTCAGACCTAAAAAACTGGCTGTTCCATACAGTATATCTTCCAATACTACAGCCCTACATAAGATATGATAAAAACAAAATGGATAATTAGATTAGGTATCTTCAGGTGTAATACGGGTTAGGAATGTCTGAAGTTAAATTTTGAAAGTTAAAACTGGATCGTGTGAAAGTTGCCATCAATAGGGGTGCCATTAAAAATATACGTAGGAAAAATTCAAAAATTCAAATATACACAGGCATTAACAAAAGCAAAACATAGTCTCAAAAGCATGACAGTGTGTCTGGCTTAGTATGGTGCGTAGATATATCCATAGATTCTATGCTCTGTGTAGATTTTTACAGACAAAGGAGAGGACTTCAAGTTCCAGCTCCTCCTGTCAGTGTCTCTGAGTCATATATAAGCTAAACCACATACCTCCTTTCCAATGTGGACTGTGTTGTCTCCGTTCTTGCATTAGCACACAAGGCCAGAGCAGTTTGCACAAACTGCCTTTTAAGAGTTGCAACACACTCTTGTTTCTGTGTTAGGACCAAGGACAGCGACAGTTAGGTCCACAGAGAGAGGAGGGGTGAAGGTTTGTGTTGGGAGAACGGAGGGCTAGAGGGTGTAAATGCAGAGCTGCTAACAGATTGTATGTTCTCAGTCTCACACCAGAAAGGAGGAGTAAAGGGAAATGTCTAGACACTCAATGGGAATTCTTGCCTCCAGACAAAAGTGTCTCTTGAGGAAGAGACCACTCACTACTTCTTTTGAGGAATTTCAGCTCATTGTGTTTGCAGTGTGCTGCCTTGAGTACAACTTTTGTACTGAGTGACACTTTTTACTCCGATCATTCATACTTGTGTGTCTAAGTGTGTCAATAAAATTGTTCTAGTGGAGAGGGGGTTGTTTTTAGTTTAAAAAAAATCAGTTTTACATCCTTTTCTTCTCTGATATATGTACTGAATATCTGTTCATACCATCAATAAGAAAATGAATACTTGGCAAGACTGAACTCTGAGCCCTTTTTCACAGAAAGTTCTTGTGATTTATTGTCTTCCATAAATTGGATTCACCACCAAAGCTTTATTTCAACACAAAATAATGCAAGGACAAGGGTTACACCAATATTTATCTGACAATATTCAAGTTATCCCCCAATATATGAACACAATTGATCCCAGGACCAAATTATCAATCGCTTCTTATCAGCGGTGTCTAGATTGTGATATATGTAATTATACATTTCTTTAAAGCCAATGAAACAAACAGTTGATAGGCTGAAAACTGGGCCACAAAAAGACCAAAACATGTTCAGCCCTATGCCATTACTCGGGCAATTCTGTTAATGGTCTCTAAAAAGTTGTTTGAATTTACAAACAAAAACGACTGTGTGTTAGTGAACTAGTGTTAGTCATTAAGTGAATTGAAAGAAGATTGCAAAAACAATCTGAGCTCCTGGTCGGTAGTACCCTAAAGGACTTACAGGCACCCTTTAGGTTTTTGACCACCAGTAGCATTGATGGAGCAACATTTTTTACTTGTGTGTCCCTGTTTTATTTATGTTGTGCAGGACGCAGATGCATGCGTATGGTATGGTAGGTAGCAGTAACACACAAAGAAGAAAGACTGCAAGCTAGTAAACAATCAATGTAAACAATTTGAGATTTGAAATATTTTTTTTAATCCTCTTTTGCAGTTGTTTTATGATGAAGGAAAGGCATTCAACGCATCTGAGATTACACACGTTATACTTCTGTGATTAACACAATGTGAACAAAAAGCCCATTCCTTCCTATATTGTCTCTGTAAAGTTAACAGCTTTAAAGTGCCAAGCTTGACGTGCCAGTTCAGGGTGGATTAGATTGGGATTGAGTCTGCTGAATAAATAAGCGGGCCCTGTGAACGATGCCTAACATCTGAGGAGCATTATTGTCTACACTCTTTACACTGCAGAGCAGCTAAAATGGCTGGTAAAATGAATTCTTCTAGACCACATAGACTAAATAGTCTTTAGTGATTCATGTGTGTTACATTATAGCATACGACCCACCTTAGACTACCAAAAGCATATTTGTTACTAAGTTTAACAGGATGATTATCTCTTAGGAAATTTCTCCACCCGCAATGTTTGAAGTATCGACAGAGCGAGTCTGTACAGCATCAGTGTTACCATAACTTGGCTATCCTTTTATCACTATGCATAGCTTCCTTTTTCAAGGAGGTCGCTTCCACAGACTGCTTTTCCTTCTGTCTGGGTTTTTATATTTTTTGGGTCATCGTGGCTTATATGCTGGCATTTTCATCACTGCTCCTGTCAATGTTTCCTTTTTTTCCACTCTCCTCCAAATTTCTACTCTGCCCCACTTCCTTAATATTCATTGTGATCCTGTGCTCTTTTTCTTTCTATTTTCACAGTTCTCTCTCTATTTTCTATTCACACTTTCTCGCCACCCGTCTTGTCTTTCCTTTACCTATATTTTTGTCCTCCTGTAGGCCTTTCATTTCTTCCTCTGGCCAAGATGAACTGAGATATAAGGTCATGGATGCCTGCCTTTGTGGCACCAGACTGCTGATTGTCTTTCTCTCTCCTCCTCCTCATTCCCTCCTTCCTCCCCACCTCTCACTCTACCCCCAGCCTCTTGAGTACATTAAAACTCTTTACCTATTCTATCTGTATGTTAATGCACCTAGCCACATTTCGCCTGTTCTCCTCTCCCTCTGCTGAACAGGAAGTGCCACCATTTGCTCTCAGTTTTTATTTCTGCAACTCATTTCTCCTGGAAAGTAATGCTGGAAATAACACAATAGTGTAGATGCTGAGCAAATGATGTTTTATGACCATACAAACTCACCTCGTAGCTCTAGTTTGCTCATCAGGTTTCAGTATGTGGTTTCTCTAATCACTGGTATAGCTTTTATTGACGTTATTTTCACGGGGATTTTATCCTATTAGACGTTCTTTAAGGGGCTGCTGTTTGATTGCATGCCTGCTCTTGATTGGTTCTGTCCCTGAAGCTTTAAACAGTATGCTGCAACTACTGGTACTGGATGCTTTGCTCATACTATTAATATTTGATTCTATTAAGTTCAATTTTTTTTATCATTTTACCAAACTAATGCACATTTTTCTCAAGTTAACGCTATGTTCCTAACATGAATAAATGGAGAGAGAACAGGGACAATGCAAAAAAAAAGGGAGTGCAAAGCAAAATGGTGCTAACAGAAGTATAGTACAGTACAATATGTAACAAGTAAATCAATGGCTTGTAATTTGATACCTTATCAAAAAGCCAATGGAAACCTTTAGTTGATCTGGGCCCAGATGGTTTGCACCATGACTCATGATGTTTTTGTCATTTTGTTGGATGCTAAATATCTTGGAGGCCGAGC